ATCATAATAAATCAACCACTAACCATTTATTTACCCAAATCATTTAAAAAATAATAATTACACCAATTTTTTTAACCAAATGTGATAAGCTCAAGTTTATTACAATTTTCCTTAAAAGGCCCAATCTTCTAATATAAATACAGGCATATTTTTTTCTTTGAAAAAACATCACATGCAAGCAAGCAAGCAAAATGACTAGAAAGAGGATTAGACATGAGCAACTCGCTAATGAAAATAGGCGAAACTCTATCTTTGCCAATAGAACTGAAGGGCTGGTGAAGAAGGCTGAGCAATTGCAGATTCTTTGCGGTGCCGAGATCGCCATCATCGGCCACCAGCAGGACGGCGAAAACAATGCCATTCTTTGGCCGTCGCCGGAGGCGGTGGAAGACCGGGTGAACAAATTCATGGAGTTTCCGGTGATTGAAAGGAACAAAAAAATGGTAACTCATGAAAGCTATATTGAACAGAATGTGAATAGTGAGAGGGAGAGCTTGGCTAAGATGCAGAAGGCGATGGCAGTGAAGGAGGGAAATCAATTGCTGGCGAAGAAGCCGTTGGACATGATGGAGACGACGGAGCTGCAAATGGTGAAGGCTATGGCGGCGGAGATGCTCAAGAAGCTGAGCGCGAGGGGAGCAGAAGTCGGGTTGCCGGCGCAGGGGGCTGGCCCGGCGGAGGGCGATGGAGAGATTTTATTGGACCAGCTGGTTGGGGCAGCTCCTCTTGGAGCGGCGGCGGCGACGGTGGCTGAAGATCAAGGCCTGATGCGGGGGATTGCTGCAGTGGGGGCTGATAAATGGTTTTCCAATGTCCCTAAAGGCAGCGGTGACGGTTCTCTTGGGATTGGTGGCTTCATGGGTTATGCCTTTGCGGCTGGCGGCGGCTCTGCTTCTGGATCTGGAGGATTTTCTGCTGCTGGCGGTTCCTCTTCTGGTTTTGCAGGTTTTTCTAGTGGTGCGGCTGCTGTTGGTCGTTCTTCTCCTAGTTTCAGAGGATTTTCCGGTCCTGTTTCCATGGGCGGTTCTTCTTCTAGCTTTGCAGGTGACGGCGCTGCTGCTGGCGGTAGTTCTTCTAGTTTTGGAGGATTCTCCGGCACCGACGTCGACGACTTTGTGTCCTCCGGTTCTGGTCTCGAGATTGGGAGGCTTTTTGGCGATGGTTCCTCCAGTGGTTTCGGAGGGCTTTCTGGGGCTGGCGGCGCCGGTTCCTCCGGTGGCGGCGTTGGTGGATTTTCTGGTGGAAATAACTAGGCGTTTGCAGCGTGCGTGCGTGGCTGGCAGTGGAAGTGATGAATGATTGTTGAGATTTTACCTGTGTTTGATTTTTACCATTGTCTGTAATGAACTTCTTATGATGGAATTAATAATACTCAATAATTAATTACAGGCATAACATCGTCTTTGGATATGTTTAATTATAAGTGAGATTTTGATTTTAAATTTTTGTTTTGAATTAAAATATTTGTTCGAAGTGACATCAGATAAATAATAAAATTAAGTGTTTGATTTAATTTTTTTTTAAAAAAAAAATATTAAAATAGTAAAATCAAAATCAAAATTGCACATATTTCATACATAATACTAGATATTTACATTAAATTTTAAATACCATATTCAAAACTTATTATTTGAATTTGCTATTATAAATACTACACAGGGTTACAAAATTACAAATCAAAGTGTATTATCTTTTATTTTCATTTTTAATTTTCTTAATTATCCACTTTATTAATTAACTCTGCGAAACACATCACATCACACATTAGTTTTTTTACATTTAGCAATTATTTTTTATTTCAACGAAATAAATAAAAATAAGAATACTCAACAATGCATATTTTGTATCCAAAAATTGGAAGCATATATATTCCAAGTAATTATAAGTTATGCAGAAACTTGCATTTTCTTGGATTATTATAATTTCTTCGGAGTTTGATTTTTTAATTATATATAATTTTATCAACATAAAACGTCGAATTATATCCGTATATTATTTTTCGTCAAAATTATTCATAATCTACAGGAATTTTAGAAAGTTTGTACTATTCTACCTTATAATTTAGAAATTGCTTGAAACTCTCTCGTGTTAAATATATATATATTGCACAAACTTTCATTTTTAGGAGTTTCTGTACAATATTTTTCAAAATACAAAAAAGTTTCGTACAATTTTTAAGAAATTTTGTGCAATATTTTCTAAAATATGATAGTGCGTCATGCAGTTGCTAAATCACATTGAAAATCATGCAGAATTTTCAAATTACAAATGAATTATCTATAATTTTGTCTTATTTTCCAAATATTTATTTTGGATTTCAAATATACGTCAGTAATTCAAAGAAAATACATTTATGTTTGATGGGCTAATTCATATGAAATATCTAAATTATACATTATTTTGTATTATTATTATTATTATTTGTTTGGTATGTTATGTTATATGATGTATAATATGTTTTGAAAATCACGTTAAATATGTAACTTCTATCTAGCAATAATAAGTTTGTAGATTATTTACGATATAAAATTATTTTTTCATTATAAAATCACTTTTCAATGATAAATCTTACTTTGTATTGAGCCAAGTTATTTTGTATCACGCCACCATTGTAAATTAATTATTGTGAAAATTTTCAATTTCTTATTTGTATTATTGATGGAATAAAAATAGTAAAGGTATATACATACATACAGAAGTTCAAGAGGGCAATGACGGTTAAGAAAGCCTAGCACATGTTGGTTGAAAAGCTAGCTAGTGGAAAACATACACGCGACGAAGCTAGATATGGTGGAGAATATATATATATATTGACAGAGATTATTAAGAAAGCTGAAGAAGGTCGGAGCAATTGGCAGCCCATGGCCCCGGAGAAATTAAGGGTGTGTTTGGTTGGAGGATTGGATTTTGGATTTGGATTTGGATTTTGGAGAATTTTGAATTATGAATTTTTTAAAAAGTTATGTTTGTTTGGAAGTTTAAATTTTGTAATGATTATGTAGGATAAAATTATTATTTCATTAAAAAAAATGATATATTGATGTGATAGTTTGAAAGAGATGATATTTAAATAATATTTTATTGAAGAAAATAATATATTTAAATTTTAAAAAAAAAAATTCTTTTATTTATTGTGTTCTTTTATAAAAAAATTTCAAATTATTATTCATATTTTTTTTTTGCTAAAAATATCAAATCAAATACATAATTTTTACTTTAATAATATACTAAAAATTAATTTTATATTTAAAATATCATGTCATTGACGACGTCAATATCTATTTATATCATATTATACAATTATTTTAAATATAATTTAAAATTATTTTTTTTAAAAAATAAATATAAATATATAAAAATAAAATAATATTATCATTCATTTTTTTCCTATCACTTATAAATATTTTTATAATTATTAATATTATTATTATTATTACTTTTTAAAAATATAAAAAAATTTACACACGTTTCACAATGTTGTAAATGCAAGAAGATTAGAAAGAGAGAGGAGTAAAAGTCCTATTCAACGGGTGTGTAATTTGTTCACTGCAATATTACTTTGATAGTATGATGGTGACAGAATAACTGATTAATTAAAGATCTATCATATATGATAGATTTTGAATAGTGTATTTCAATACAGTAATTTAATAATAATTTTTTTTTAAATCCGTCACCCGAACACACCCGAAGGGTGTTAAATCCTTTGAAATTTTTAAAAATACAAAAGGAAACATTCTTGTTGAAACTAGTTCATTTTGTTTTGAGTATAGAAATATTGATTTAAATATTTGATTCATTTACTTAATTTATACAATATTTATGATGCATTATTATTATTATTTTAATTATTTTTTATTTAATAAAATATTAAAATAAAAAAAAAAATTGAATACTGAATATTTATATATCTTAAAATTGTTTTAAAAATTATTTTTCAAATCAATGTATTTTTTTTATTATTTTTGCCCGTTAATTTTCTATTTTTAGTAAAAATAATAGTATATTTTAACTTTTACTTAAATAAAAAATATATTATTTTACATACAATTACACACCTATACTATATTTTAGCACAATATAATATATATCCAGCATAGAAAGAGATCGTAACTGCTATTCAGACAAACACCATTTCGTACTTGGTGCAAGTGAAGCCCAGTTCAGTTCAGGCTATGCATTTTCTTTCCTCTGTCTCCTTCGTCTTCCTTTTTTTCTATCTCCATATTCTTACTTTCTTCTCTTCCCTTTTTACTTTCTCTCTCCTCGATATATCTCTCTTCTTTTTTTTTTTCTCTCGAGCTGTTGCTCATTTTTCTCTCTTTACCTATAAAAATATAGAATATTACTTGGCTATACCATTACAGTTGTTCAATAATCCTTTGCGTCTGTCTGACTCATAATATTCTTTAAAAAATTCCAGATGAACGATCCAATTAGTTAGCGACGCTTCATGTCAGACTGGAGATGGCATCTAGGGGTGGAAATAGGCCAGGCCAGGCCAGGCTTTGGTTAAATAGGCTTGGCCTGTCTTAAAAAGATATGGCCTGAGCCTGGCCTACCAGCCTGAAAAAAAATATTTTTAAAGCCTGAGCCTGGCCTTTTTAAAAGTCTGGCCTGGCCTACGAGCCTGTTTAAAAGGCTACATAATAATTTATTATTATTATTTTTTTTTTTTTTTTGTAAATTTCGTACTATAAATAAAAAATAAAACAGATACAATTATTTATATTATATATAAAAAAATAAAAAATTCTGTTTTTTAATGACAAAAATAATCATTTTTATTGCCATATAAAAATACAATATATTATACTAATAATTTGCAAAAAAACGTATATTACAATTCATTCAAATATATATATAATTATTGGGAATAAATCTTGCAAACTCCAGACAAAAGCTTATAGAAATTACTGCATAATGACATTAAAAAAAAAAACAGTTTACATCAATCTATTGTCATTAAGCTGATTATTCTAACAAAGAAATAAGCAACGCTAACTCAGAAGCAATATTAAAAAAGTCGACAAAAATATTTAGAAATTAATAACATAGTTTTTCAAGTTCACGTCACCCACAGGCCACAAGCCACAAGAATTGCAAATTCCCCCAAAGTTTCTGAAACCATTAAATCTGTTCAAGTACAAAAGTTGATCAAATTAGTATTATATCTGAAATTTCTTCCTTCTATATATAAATTACGCAAAGCATCAAAAAATTATATTAGAACAAAAAGAAAAAAGGAATATCTTACTTACCAATACAATAAAAGTTTCAAGAGAAAAATAGCAAATAGATCAATAATATCTTCTGGACATTAGCATTTCCACTCCTGAAATCAAAATTTAAAATTTCAGCACCTGCAAACCTATCCAAATATTTTAAAAAAATAAATAAATAATTGTAATATCAAAACAACCACCTGCAAACCTATCTAAATATTTCAAACAATACATCCTGCAACAAATTTCAGAAAATCAAAGTTGAATCCTCCCAAAATACATCATGCAACAACAATATCTTACTAAAAAAATCAGATTTTCAAACAATTAATCTGTATAAAAAATTTCAGAAAATATTATAAATTTAAAACGTACCGCAACCAAAGTATTAAAGAACTTCTTTAATCTATAAGCTTATCTCCTTCAAAGACTCATTCACCTTCAAATGAGAGAAATATTTTTATTAGAAAAAAATATATTGTGGGTGATGAATAAGATAAAGAAAAGACAATTAATAATAAAATTTACCTTCTTTTTTTTCAAGTTGTATTTATGTCGAAGCCAATCTCCTCCACAAATTAGTGTCTCAATAGATTCTTCATTCAATCTTGAACGATATTCATCTATAACTCTACCTCCAGCACTAAATGTAGACTCTGAAGCTACCGTTGATATTGGAATCGCAAGTACATCAGCAGCCATCTTCGATAAAACTTTATATTTCATGCTGTTGTTCCTCCACCACTCCAAGGCACAAAATGAAGACATATTTCCATCAGGAATATAAACACTGTCCTCGAGATAGGCATCCAATTCAGATTTTGATACAGGAATTGCTTCTTTTGCTCTTACAAGACTCATAATTTGATCAAACCCAGTAACTATCGCAGATTCAGATTGGGTGGTGGCAGAGGAGATGTTAGCCATATTGCACTGACTTGAGGATAATTCTTCAACACTTAAGGCCACATAATCATTATATAGTTGTTGCAGTGAAGCACGCACTTTGTTCACATACTCGGCAGCAACTTCTTCAGACTTGTATATCATTGGAAAACATATTTCAACACCATGAAATTTAACTCTCGGATCCAATACATTTGCAACAGCCATCAATAGATTGCACTCACCCCAATATTTATCAAACTTTTCTTTCATTTGCGTTGCCATTTGTATCATAAAAAGATCATCATCCTTTGTCGCATCATCAATTACTTGCTTCACTTTTCAGACCTCTGAAAGATACAAGTTGGCAGTAGGATATTCACTTCCAGATATTAAATTGGTAGCTAAGTTGAAAACCTCTAAAAGTTTACAAACTTTCTCGACTTTCTCCCAATCTTCATTTGAAGGTGCAAATGTATAATGAGGTTCTCTTTCTTGGTATTCTGAGAAGACAATCTTGAATTTTAAAGCAGCGGCTAACATGTGATATGTAGAATTCCACTTTGTTGGACAATCAATTATCAACTTCCTTTCTTTTAGATGCTTTTGTTCAACTACTTCACCAAAACTCTTCAATCTTGAATCATTGAAGTTTACATACTTCACACTTTCACGAACATTATGGATGATATCTTTGATTCGACTAAGCCCATCTTGCACCAAAAGATTCAATATGTGTGCACAACATCTAACATGAAATAGAGCTCCATCGAGGACAAGCTTGGTGCTGCGTGATATGTAGTCTTTTAGATACCTCAAGCACGAGTCATTATATGAAGCATTGTCAACTGATACTGAGAACACTTTATCTTCGATCCCCCAAGCCTTCAAACATTTGAAAATGGCATTGGCTACATCAATTCCTCGCCTTGGAGCAGGCACCTTGACAAAGCTTAAAATCCTTTTCTGAAGCTTCCACCCAGAATCTATAAAATGACCAGTGATTACCATATATTCAATCACTTGATGACTGGATTTCCACATATCTGTTGTCAAGCTAATCTTGCTCACACTCTTTAATAATTCCTTCAATGCTTTTCTTTCTGCTTCATATATTGCTATGCAATCACTTCGTATCGTCTTACGAGAAACTTTCTGAAATTCAGGGTTCGCATACTGAAATGACCATATAAAAGCATCGTCTTCTACAATGCTAAAAGGATACTCATGTACCATAATAGAAGTGGCAATGACTTCCCTCATCTTTTCATTAGAAAATCTAAACCCCGGACTTATAAACGGATAACTTGAATTGGATGGCTTAAAAGGAATGACACATTGTTTCCTTTGTGAAGCCATTTGTACTGACCTCTGCAAACATCCTTCTGAATGTCTCTTTAGATGGCTTGTGCTCGCACCTCTTCCCCCAGTAGCAAATGCATTTTTACAGTATTTGCAAATAGCTTTCTTAACACCTTCAGCAACTTGAATTTCATCAAAGTCATTCCACACAATTGAAGTTTTTTTCCTTTTTTTCCTATTGGCACCTTCATTTGCTTGATTTGAATTCCTTTCGTCTTCATTTCTGTTATCATCCACAGGTTGGCTTGAAAGGGAATCCACTGATATACTATTGTGTGTATCAGATGGAAGATCAAAAATATTTGTTTCATCCATCGAAGCCATATCCTGCTTCAAAATAAATAAAAAAATTTATTTAATTAATGATATACATTATAAACGAAAATATCATAAACTGTTCATTCTTGTAAATATATATCTTATATTTTTCTACAAAAATATAAAATTTTCATTTTAATCTAAATAATATAAAACACAAAAATAAAAATAACAAAACTATTTAAAAAAATGACGTTATAAAAAAACAAAAAAAACGTCATAAAAAATATATAAGATAAATAAAATATAACAAAAAAACAAAAAATATATATATTGAAATTCATATCTAAATAAAAATAACGAAAAAAAACATATAAAAATGATATTTACCTTATTTTTCCAAATTCCACCGGTAGCAATAAAAAAGAAGAGGCGATGAAGACAGAAGAAGGAAAAAGAAAAGTAGTGGATCTCTGTGAAGAAGATTGCAAAACCCTGGACGGCGTGGAGGTCTGACAGCAGTTGCAGGCTTGCAGCGGTGGAAAAGGAATATGGACAGTTGTTGTGGGATAATATTTGAATTATAATAAAAGAAAAAAAAAAAAAGGAACATGTGTGCAGTAGTTGTTCATATTTGAAATTTTTTATTGGGATAAAAATTATTTTTATTTTTGTTTTTTTTTAATAAATTTATAATTAAAATTTTTTTTATATATATCATTATTATATATAAAACTATTCTTATTTTATAATAATAAAAAATAATTTTATATAATAATAATATTATAATTAAACAGGCCGGCCTGTTTAGTAAATAGATTTTTTCATAAACCTAAGCCTATTCTGTATATATGAACAGGCTTTAACAAAAATCTGAACCTGGCCTTTCTAATAAATAGAACAGGCCAGGCCAGGCTTGATGTAGGCCAGGTCATAGACCCTGACAGGCCGCCTGGCCTATTTCCACCCCTAAATGGCATCCCATCCCATCCCAAGTCATACACAACCCACTTGATCGTTGGGGGTGTTTTCTTCAGATTTTTTGGTTGATTCTGCCTGCTTAAGCTCCCTTCTTCATCTCCGATTCTTTTCTTTGTCACACTGTAAGTGTAAAGAGAACCACAAGCTGGTTGAGAGACAAGGTCAATATCCCTTAGAAGCTAAAGCTGCATCGCCAGGTACACTGATTTTCGATACTTTAATTTCCCCTTGATCTATATATATGATGCAAAGTTTTCCCCTGGGACAAAAAAAACAGCAAAAACTATTTGCGGGAGCAGTGCAGCATTGTAAGTCTGTCCTTTGTATAACATTAATTTACAAAGATGAAAATATTGACATTTCGATAGCTTGGGAACTTAAAATTCACTTAAACACTACTCTCGTATGTAGACCTTATTACATTATCATCTATATTTTACCAAGAAACATGTGTAACTATTTAGTAGTAACAATTTACTCGACATATTTCCCGGGATAAGACAGCCTATTAAAAACTTGACAAAGCTAAGTGCATTTGGTCGTGCTTGTGTCTTCAAGGTGGGGTCGATGATTTTATTGTTTAGTATCACCGAAACTGCATACCTTTGCGTTGTACGTACCCTTGATGCTCACTTTGGCTCGGATGACTGAATCCTGTGGCGCTTGAAAATTCTCGGAATCCATAAGCACTAATGTCATAGTTGAACTGTAAGAATTGAGGAAAGAAACAGAATCATGCCAAGTTCATTGGTAACAAAATTAGTCGAGTGAAAGTATCAAACAGCAAAGTCTGTGTGAAAGAACCTCCCGAATGAGATTACAATGTCTAGGACTTCGAAGTTACAGGCTACGATAAATACTCAAGCTTTAAATTGCTCTTAGAAAGACAATATGTAAAATTCCAAAAAGCGAAAAGATACACAGCCCTTATATATTCTTTTCCTATAAAAGATGTTCAGATGTTCAAGGCCTCCTTCAAGAAAATGACTACCTTATGTAAAAGTGAAAGGGGAAGAATACCATCTTGTAACATCGAAAGTTTGAGAACCACATTATATTGTGGCGAGAAACCATAAACCTTAAATCATGACCATTATGGTTTAGTGTGTATAAATCATTCTAAGTCGACATTATATCCAAATATTACACGAGCAGATAAAAAAGTTCATGCATATTGATTGCATATACTACCTACTGTAAATGTGAAAGGGGATGAACATCTATTTTGGAGCCTTGAAAGTTTGAGAACAGAATTGAATTGTGGCGAGAATTCATAAACCGGGAATATCGTGAGTGAGTGTGTATAAATTATTCTGAGTCGACATTATATCCAAGTATCATACGAGCAGATTAAAATTTGCAAATTGACTCGCATATATGATAGATAAGTGAATGTAGGAGTCCGAAGGTTTCAGGAACTTACAGGTAAAACCTTTACGGAGTACTTTGTGATATTTGGATCGAAAGTCTTTCCTGAATTTGAAGCCTGCATTTTCACCATCGATATAAAAACTGGCAAGATACATAGACAACAAAAGGAAGCGACAAATACAAATCATGTAGGAGAAGAAACTAAAATTATTAATATTGGAGCTTGTTAAGCATTCTATTTACATATACGATTTTAGAAGTTTTAGCACTATTCCTCAACAGTTTTTTTTAAAGAAAAACATCACATCAAATATCCTGCTTTTTATTATTCATAAAATTTTCTTTCATCAAGATCAAGAAAGATTTTTAACTTAGCTTATCTGTAATTTAAATTAGTTTCATATTTAAAGTGAAGAATAACTTACAATGGACATTTGGGCTTTGTTTATTTTGCGTTATTATTTTTTTATTCTTCTTTTACGCTGTAACCTTGAAGATTCCCTATAAAAATATAACATTTTCTCTTATAAAACATCATATCCAATTACTATTTATATACAAAGGACAAACAAGAAGCCAAAGTAATAAAGCCAAATTCTCCTCAAAATTAGATTTTGCACCGCCTTACGGCTAGCTATCTTGTTATAAATTATGATGAGAACATAAAATATCGATCCCCCAATTCAATGAGAAACTAAAAATGCAAAACCATTTCGAGATTCTGATAGAGTTGTAATTATTGATGAAATACCTGTTCTGGTGTGTGAAACATTTCTATAAATGGATATTCCTGCTTCTGGCGTGAAATGCAGAATCCAGGATACTTTGGGCATTCAACCTAAGACACAAGAGCCACAGACAGACAATGAATGTGAAATTCCACCAAACGAGCCTAAGACACTATTATGAAATAGATAATTCTCAGTCTTAGTGTCTTATTTCATCAATTATCAACAATTGGAATAACTGATAATCTTCAATGTAAGCATAAAGAAAATGCGTACTAATGATAACTGCGATAAGTATAAGCTAATTATATAACCACTTTTAGATCACGGGTAAAAAATATAAAGCCATAACTTACACGCATAAACTTAACATGTGGATCAAACTCAGCAGCAGCTTCCTCCAGTACGCTGTCGAGGCGCTTGGTCAGATTGCACCTACATCAATCAAAGGCTTTATAATTCAATAATAAAAGAATATTATAAGATTCATATTGCATCACAACATCAAGACAAAAGTTTCAAATGTTACTTTATAGTAAATGCAACCACCACAGGGTAGCCCTGATGAAGGAGCTGCACAAACTCACGCTCTGATGTAAAATGAATAACCCTTGACGGCCCAAGATCTTTTGGATACCCAGTATAGTACCTTCGAATAACTCAGAAGTGGATGCAAAGATGGTGTGAGTGATTAATAAAAGAGCATACAAGAGACTTGTGGATATAAAAAAACTATAGCACAATGCATCACTTGGATTTCTTCACTGAAATGGTGCTAAAATGAAACATGAATCATGCGAAAAGAATTTAATTCTCATTGTCAACTAATGTACACAATCCATTTATCTGATCAATAAGATGGGAGAAAATTCATAATGAATAATCCCTTTTGTTTACTTGGTGAGTTATTATTATTTTGGTTAAATAGTGGGTAGGATGCGATGTTTTTGAGGTGAGGGAAAATAGCATACTTTTATATGAGATCGTGGTGATTGCAAAGTAAAGAAATCGAAAATAATCACCAAATAAACAAAGGTAATCACCAAGGGAACAAAGGCTTAGTCTCCCTATCAAAAGAAAACATTTAGAAGACAAAATAATTGCCAGAATAACAAAGTAAGAAAGAATGAAACATCAGTTTCTCCCTCCCCCTGAATCCTTCCCTGTGAACAAATCATAAATCTTTTGTGCAAACAATAGCTCAACATTCATAATCGGATTATTGCTATAGTAGAAACCGTTTGCAGTAGAGAACAGAAATTCTCAACAAACAACCAATTCAGAACATAAAAGTTTAACAGGAAACATTGAAAAAAAAAAATGTAAATTGCAAGTGAAATTGATGAACATATGTAAACTTAGCGTGTATTTAGCGGAGAGTTCGATCTCGTACCTACAGGATGCACGAAGATTAAGCATTATCTTGCTAAGCAATGATGAATCCTCCATTCTGCAGCACTTTATTGACAATATAAAAAATAAAAAATCAACAAACCGCATTAAGCAGAAATAGTAAGGCCTTGTTAGTTTGTAAGATTTTGCCCAGGTTTTACTGTGCAATTACTGTTCAAATTCCACCCTAAAATCCCTACTTACCGACCTACCTAAACACTCATTACTAGGTTTGTACCGTTTCAATCATCCCAAGTGAATTTTTTTGCCATTATTTTTTGCAATCGGAAAATAAAGAGAACAATGTTCGGACCGGTGAAGTGCGACGGAGACGGCGAAGGCTACTACCGGATAAGCATCTGGGCGGAAGAAAAAAAGAAAATGATAATGAGAAAATAGAGCAAAAAGAAGAAATAAAAATGTTAGAACAAACTCCTATTTCCTACCAGTGGTGTAAGCAAGGGAGAATAAGGAGGAGAAAGAAAACGAAATTTACCGGAGTTTCGACCAGACAATGGCGGCGGATCTTCATCTCAATGAGAAAGCCGACGACGAAAGGTGGAAGAAGGAGATGAAAGAGGGGAATGAAAGGAAGGAAAGAACAAGAAGAAAAAGAAAATAACGATGAAAAAAAAAAAAAAGAGGAGGATATACGAAGCAGGGGGAAGACGGGGGAGGAGAAAGTTTGGGGAAGGGGCGGGATCCTCAGTCGAATATGTACCGCTCTACTCAGTCGAGCCTAAAAAACCGCGACGCGTGTCCGGTGTTTATTATTATTATTATTATTATTATTATTATTTGTTTTGAATCAAAATTTTATTTAACATAAATTGCAATTTAACTTCTCGTTGTAATGGGTGTGTTTGTTCGGATGTTTGGATTTTGGATTTGAATTTTTTAAGATTTGTAAGTATGGATTTTTAAGTTGTGTTTGTTTAAATGTTTGAATTTTGTAATGATTATATTGAAAGAAATTATTATTATATTGAAAAAGGTTATGTATTGATATGATATTTTGAAATGAATGATATTTAAATATTGTTAAAATAAATAAAAGTAAAAAAGTAAAGTGATGTTGGAATTGATATTTTAAAAATAATTTTTTAAAAATTTTTTTGGAAGATACTTCCTCCGTGTCCCACGTTGTCGTTTATGTCACTTTTCTTTTTTTTAAAAAATAATTATACATTTTAATCTCATTTTAAACTTTTTAATTTATTTGTTTTAATTTTAATTAAATTAATTAATTATTTTAATTTTAATTTATAATTATTTATATTATAACATAATTATTTTCACTAATATATTTTTAATTATCTATTAATTATATCCCTCTTAAAATACCGTGTTGTAGAGCTTGTTTGTTTGAAGGGTTGGTTTGTTTGAAGGGTCTACCAACCCGACCGTCCGTCCTTCAATCAAACCAGAGAAGAGGTAGATAAGAGGTGGAGCTCACAGGTGATTCTCGCTGCAACTCCTGCGCGAAAGGAAGGGGAAGGGAAGCCAGTATGTCTAGCGTGCGTAGGATATAGGGATAGGATTTTTAATTTGAATTTTATACAGTATTTATACAGTAAAATCTGGCACATTTTCGTCAAACGAACACAGCCCTTTTCTCCCTTTCTAAACCCAAATCCCCCTCCCCCACTTGAGTGCGACGTTCTACCCGCTGACGCCACCGCCAACGCGTCCGCCCGCCCAGCCGCTCCCGCTGCCGGCGCCACCGCCTGATCCTGCCCCTTCCGCCCCGGCACCTCCAGCTATTCGGAGACCCACCATTTTATTGGGGGATTTATGTTTGTTTCTTTTGAGGCTTTCAGTGGAAATAAATTTTGAATTTTTATTGATGTATTTTTGTAATGATGTTAGTTGTAAATTTTGGGAGTATGAAAAAGAATAGTAGAAGAAAAATATGAGTGTTAACTCTCGATTTTTGGAAATTTGATTGAATGCAGTCATTTTTCCTACCAAATTTTTTTTATGTATGTTTATGTTGATGTGGAATTAAGTTTTTTTAACAATTAGTCGTGTGAAAAATTTTACCAAGATTTTTTTCTGTATGTTTGTGTTGATGTGGAATTGAGTTTTTTAACAATTAGATATGTGAAAAACTTTAGGATCTTAAAGCTTCATTGTTTTGTATACATTTCAAGAAGTATGCAAAATTATATACAAGTGGATTTATGTTTGTTTCTTTTGGCGATGTTATGCACGGAGCCGAACGAATAAGGTAACAAATCAATATGGGGGATTTTCTGTAATAAAAGTGAACACGATGGGACCAACGAAACAACACAAACCTTCAAATGTTGCCTCTTTTTTTGTCCAGGACTAGTCCTCTGATCATGTATGTCCAATCAAATGACCACTCCAGCTACCAAGATTTGCAGAAATCACAAACAAACATTTTGAATTCAACTTAGCATTTCCAGAGTGACGAAATCAATAGTGACAAATAACCCTTCTTTGAATTGATCGACATACATATCTTTGTTTCAGTTACTCAACATACAACTAAAACAATCTTGAGAAGATGATTTCCTGGTGGGAAAGATAGACTGAACGAATTTCTAACAATCAAACTTCTAAAAATTAAGAATAACTCAACTCTTCGTATTTTTCTTCTACTAATCTTTTTCATTCTCAAAATTTGCAACCAATACTAATACAAATAAATATACATTAACAAAAATTCAAATTTCAATTTTTAATATCACTTTTCACACTTCCACTGAAAAGCCTCAAAAGAAAAATTATAAACTCCCCAAAAAGGGATGGGTCTCCGAATAGGCGGTGGCGTTGGGAGCGGAGGGGTTGGGACGGGCGGTGTCGGTCTGCGGTGGCATCGGAGGCTCGAGGGGTTGGGTCGGTGGTGGCGTCGGCAGCGGAGCGGCTGTACGGGCAGACGCATCGGCGGTGGCGTTAGCGGCGGAAACAACTGGGCAGAACGTTTGGTCAAAATGGGGAAGGGCATTTAGGTTCACGAAAGGAAAAGATTCAAAACAAGAAGGGGACTAAATTGTAAATTCTATTATAATATTAAATTTTTAATTTAAAACAAAAAATAAAAATAAATATTATTTCACTTCCTTAGAGATTCGACCGAATAGTCTGAATATATTTTGGACCGATGATCCATGTCGGCGGACGTGGGATTAGTTGGGCCCTCATATATTTTTGACCGATGATCCATGCCGGCGGATGTGGGATTAGTTGGGGTTGGGGATAGGCGGAGGTGTGGTGGGTTTATTTATTTATTTTCATATCTATAATTAATTCTTCCTCCTATTATTTTAATTTGATAATTTTATTATACAGTAATTAAATATATTTAATAAATATAAAATAATTTTATTAAAAAATTAAAAGTTTTATATATAAATAAAAAATATATATATTAAAAATTAAAAATTTAATTAAATAAATTAAAAATATATATTATATTTTTTAATAAATTTATATGTACGTCAAATATTAAAAATTTAATTATATTATTTGTATTTATTAAATATAATTTATATTAATAAATTTATTAAAAATAAAAATATATAAATTGTTATGAGATAAATTTTAAAAATTAAAAAAAAAATGTTAAAGTAAAACAAAATATATATTTAAAATACTAATAGTATTTTTTTAAAAATTACACAGCTAAAAATCCCACCAACAAACGCATACATAGGCTATGAAATATATATATATAAAATCTGTGTCGGGTCTGACTGCATCCACAAAGAGAGAGAAACACAAATTGGCATAAATGGGGAAAGAAGGGTTTCAATGGAACTTCCATCATCGGATTCGGTGGAGGGCAGATTTGAATTTGATGATACCGATACCAATTTCACGATGATGATGATCATCGTCATATTCCATCGCATATGCTCCCTCTCTGTTACTATTACTATTACTAGTAATAGTAATATTCCTTTCCCCTCTCTTTCTCCCCCAAATTCTCCTTTGCCTGATTCCTCCCTCCCTCCCTCCCTCCTTCGCTCTCCCTTTCCCTCCAGACTTTTTGCTTTTACTTGCTGAAAATTTCTGTGTTTCGGGGGGGATTGGGTAATCGATCGATCTTCTCCTGCTCTTGATTACTGTTAATTAAGTAATTGTATTTGTTATTTTATTTTATTTATTTATTTTTATCGATTCCCAATTCAAAAGGGATTTCAGGAAAAGCTGATCAATGATTGGTTTTAGGGCGATTGATTTCTCGCGTGATCTTAATTGTTGAATGCGGAATTATTCTCTGTTTCTGAATTCGCTCTCTGTTGTTTTTCCGTTGCACTTGAAGGCGCTGAGGAAATCCGGTTAATCTCGCCGGCGTCGGAGGGCGTAAGAATTTCCGGCGTCGATTGGAGGAGGGGAAGGCGGGGGAGAAAATGCCTCCGGTGGGTCTAGAACGAACAACGCCCGAGATGGCGTCGTCTTCTGTTGGCTCCCGGCGGTTCGGCGACCTCAGGGGCATTCGATGGCGCATAGATTTGGGGATTCTGCCTTCGTCGCCTTCAGCCTCCATCGACGATCTCCGCCGCGTCACCGCCAATTCCCGCCGGAGGTAGTATTTATAATGCTGCCGGAATTTTATTTCAGAAATGATTCTCAATTTCCATTTCCATTTGCATTTGTGCGTGTGATGAAACTCAAGTGTGTTCGAATTCATTCTAATTGTCTGAGATATTTTAGATATATTTATGATAGAAAATCATATGTGTTCGAAGCGTTGAGATATTTTAAACATATTTTTAGATCGAAAACGAATGGCAGCTATGCCCTTGATTTTGAGACAACACGAAAAACCATTTGTTCTGTCTCAAATCAGTTATAGGCCTTTGATTTCGTCATTAATAACATACATAAAACTCTGAAATTCTGTAAAATGTAACACGGACCACTTCTCCGCAGCTATGCTGCATTGAGGAAACAGCTTCTAGTCGATCCGCATTTGCCTAAAGATGGAAGTAATTCGCCAGATCTCGTCATGGACAATCCCCTGTCTCAAAATCCAGGTTAACAAATTCGCTTTCTTGTCCTTTTCGGACAACCTCAATTTGCTGCTGCACACCTCTGATGCCGGAAATTTTGTTTGTGTCTTGCAGACAGCATGTGGAGCCGTTTCTTCCGGAATGCAGAGCTCGAACGAATGGTGGATCAGGATTTGACGCGGCTATACCCTGAAAGAGGTGGATATTTCCGGACCAACGGTTGCCAAGTTATGTTGCGCCGAATTTTATTGCTTTGGTGCCTTAAACATCCTGAGTACGGCTATCGACAAGGTAGATAATGTGGATTTCTTACCGTTTTTTAGTTCCATTGATTCATATGTCTGCAGCGCCGAGCTGAGTAATTTTGATGAATCCAATGCAGCTTTAAATGTTGAAGTCCGTATGGTTATTATTACTACGATTGTCTGTCCGAGTGTTGTTGCTTGTCTGTTTGTTACGTAAATTCTCTCCATATGCAGGAATGCACGAAGTCTTGGCGCCGTTGTTGTATGTCCTCCATGTAGACGTCGAGCGTCTTTCGGAAGTGAGAAAAGCTTACGAGGACCACTTTGCGGACAAATTCGACGGGTTCTCCTACCAAGAAAATGACCTCATGTACAAATTTGACTTCGAAAAATTCCCGGAATGTGCCGGAGATGGGACAGGACCCCAAAATAGTTCCAGAAAGTCCAGTGCCGCCACCGAGCTCGATCCCACTACGCAAACCATTGTCTTGCTCAGCGACGCCTACGGAGCTGAAGGTGAGCTAGGTGTTGTCCTGTCCGAGAAATTCATGGAACACGATGCCTATGTGATGTTCGATGTCCTGATGAAAGGTGCCGGCGGTGCGGTTGCTATGGCCGAGTTTTTCTCCACTTCGCCGTACAGTGTTTCGCATTCCGGTTTCGCCCCTGTGATCGAAGCCTCTGCAGTTATATACCATTTGCTGGCTATCGTCGATTCTCCCCTCCACACGCACCTTGTGGAGCTCGGGGTCGAGCCGCAATACTTTTCGATGCGGTGGCTGAGGGTATTGTTTGGCCGTGAGTTCTCTCTCGAAGATCTTCTGCTAATCTGGGACGAGATTTTTGCGTGCGACAATGCGAGGATTGTCAGGGACAGCGACAAAAACGGTGATTTCGGAGCCCTCAATTCTGCACGAGGGGCGTTCGTGTCTGCCTTTGCCGTTTCAATGATACTTCAGCTGCGATCGTCGCTTCTCGCCTCGGATAATGCCACTGCCTGTTTGCAAAAGCTGCTGAACTTTCCGGAAGATGCGGAGCTCGGGAAGATGGTGGCGAAGGCAAAGTCGCTGCAAGCACTGGCCGTCGACGTGAACCACTTACGGGACCCTTCGTCGCCGAGAACTCCTCTGAAAATCTTTCCGGAGAGCTATTGGGAAGAGAAATGGAGAGTTATGCACGAGGAGGAATCGCACCGTCGAGGAGGAGGATCGTTGGAGAAACGGTTTTCCGGTTGGGCGGAGCGGGTGAGGCTGCTCGGCCTATTGAAGAAGGACGGAAAGGACGAGAATTCAAAGACGGCCGCAGTTCGGAGGAATTTGTTGGATGATTTGTTGCAGCGGCTTGGACCGACGCATGAAAGTGACGGGAACTCGGGACGGGACGATGCCGCCGGTAGGAAATTCAGCTGCAGTGGAAACGAGGGAAACTCTCCCGATCGGGGGAATTGCGATGGCGAGAATGGATTGGAAACTAGCAGCGTTGCATCTAACTCGACGGTTGATGATGAGAACGACTTCGAATTTTGGGGGGCTCAGCCGGGTTGGCCTTCTCTTCCCGTCTCTGACTTTCCCGACGGAGGCGGAGATGACGAGTCTTTCAAGTGCGGCCAAAGTAGTGAGTTGGGGAGGGAGGGTAAAAGGAGTAGAACTCTATCGGGTAAACTTCAATGGCTGTGGAAGTTTGGGACGAGCAACGGCGAGGGAATGTCGGGAGCATCGTGCGACAATAAAGGCGACGGGAATGGCGGTGGTGATTCTGTGGCTGAAGAAATCGCTCCGGGGTCGAGCGAGGAGGGGGAGACGATCGACCAGAATCTGATCATCAGCTTGCGGCGGCTCGGCCGGTCGATGCTCGAGAACATTGAGGTGATAAATGATGAAGTCGAGTAGAATCGAGTGATAGTCTATTGTCGAAAACATGTTTAAATCTTTGGATTTCAGATCATCCGAGTTTCTAACCTCAGCTCGGTGTCGTCGCAGGTGATCGAGACGGCGCTCGAGCAGCAGCGGCGGCCAGAGATGAAGGGAGTGGTGGGAAACGGGCACGTGACAGCTGCGTGCGCGCTGAAGGAGCTTCGGAAGATGAGCAGCCTTCTGTCCCAGATGTAGTAAAGAAGGTGTTGGGTGTTTGTTGTTTCTGTTTTGTCCTTTCTCGCCATTTTGGTTTGCAGATTGATTGCTTACATATACATGTAGAGGAACTAAACTAACAAACAGATTATGATGTCATCATGTAATTAGTGATCTTTTCCCCTGTGTGTGTGTGTCTGTCTGTCTGTCTGTCTGTCTGTACCATAGATTTGGTTTGGGCTATTATGTATGCAGCAATAGTGATGCATTTTTTGGACATGAGACTTGTTCGTTAAGAAGGTCTCCCGAGGTCGCGGAAGGGATAGTGATAATCTGTTGTTGGCGGTGGGGATGGGGATGGGATGGCTTCCAATGTGTTTCAGATTTCACCGGCTTATTTAGATTATAAAATTTAATCTACTCAAGGAGGAGTATCCGACACTAGATCTACATCTACATCTACATCTACAGGGGCTGAAGATAAGAGCTATCAACACCGCTTACACTCTGTTTGTTCATATAAATATTTTTAGACACTGTTATTTTTCTAAATTTTTATTTATATGGAGCCTTAGTTATTTAGGCGTAACTGCCGCAAATATTGCCATCAGAATATTCCTGAATTCATCATAATAATAATAATACAACAGCTAGTTACTCTGAGATTTATTATATATCTTTTTTTAACATAATATTTTAAATAAATAATAAAAAAACAAATAAATCTTTGTTGAAATAAACGTCCAACGTCTGTTCCCAATGCAATGCAAGTCAAAACAATTTTACAACCAACACCAGCAGAGCAGGGGATATATATGGATGTATCTTTACAGTTAAGTCAAGTCAAGTCAAGTCATGTGATGTGTCAAATGAATCAATAAATCAAATCAAATGAAATGGTAGTGATTTATTGTTGTTAATAATAACAAACAATAAATACTGATCACTCACTCACTTACAGTTACAGAGAGAGACTGTTGTTCAAAGCAAGGTGTGGTTTCCATTTGCATTTGTCGGAAAATATCCAAAAGGGTCCCCAAATGGATTCGTAGACCACATTGGCTGCTGCTGCTGCTGCTGCTGGTGAGGATAATAATAGCGTTGCTGATGAATGTTACCATAAGGATTATTGTTGATGTTGTTGTAGGGTGCTGCTGTCATCACCATCATCATATTATTATTATTATTATTATCATTATGCATCTGCTGCTGCTGCATATACATCTGCTGCTGTGGATGATGATGATGAGGCACCATTGCCATGTCTGCAGTGTTCCCGGCGAATACGTCGAATGGATTTCCCTGGGGGTAGCCGCCGCTGCTGTATCCACCGGCCCTCTGCATCTGCAGCTGCCTGCGCGAAGCCTCGTCGTCGTACAGGCTGTCCAGCAACAGCTTGTCGAAGCCGCCACCCTGCATGCCACTCGACAATAATTAGGGTTAGGGTTAGGGTTAATCAATATTGTCAATTATCAGAAAGAAGACATGTAGATCTAGTAGACAGAGGAGACGGACCATCTTGGTTTCGGCTACTTGAGGAGGTCTGGTCATGTTGCTGGGCTGCGTCACCAGCGCCAGCTCCCATCCCGTGCTCTCGGCCAGAGGAGCCTTGTTGTCGGAGGAGGAGGAGGACAGCAAATCGTTGCCTGCGGGGAGGAAAGGAATTGTATATATATTGTGATCATCTTCTTTGATTGATTGATTAGTGTTACCGACCGGGTTGGATGATAGCGAGCGCCAGGGCGTTGCTTTCTTCGATCTTCTTGGCTTCCGGGCTCAGTTCTCGCAGCAGTCCCTTCATTAATTAGGCCAAACATAGAATAGAGATGAGATTGAGATTGTGATGAGTAAAGCCAAGAAAGAAAGCAAGAAGGAAAGAAAAAAAGGTGGTGTAGAGATGTTAGAACATGTGCCAACAACAACTACAACTTACGAGCAGGTCATCCTCTTCATGGACTACTGCTGATGGAGGAGGATCCACCACTTTAGCATCGGTGGAGGACACATGTACAATCTCCTCCTGTGAATCCACACCTGCTCCTGGAGTCTCGGTCTCTACTTCTTTCACTTCCTCTTCAGGTTCCTCCGCTGTTTCGGGCTCTTCATTTGTGTTCTGTTGCTGTTAAGGAAAGGAAAGGAACATTGCCGACCGAATATGATCAAATTTCATCATCGCTTCTGTTATATAAAAATCAACTAGGAAAATTATATGATCCTCTCACCATCTTCTCTCGGGGTGCTTCCTTGATATATTCCTCCATGGTTGCAAGGAATGAGGGAGGAGGCTGGCGAGTTCAACAGCATAGAATCATCAGGAAACAACAACATCAACAAGCCCAACATCGGATTTTCTCTTTTTCTTTTCTTTTCTTTTCTTTTCTTTTCAAGTTAGAAATGAAATGATGAACCTGTCTTAATGTGGGGAAGTGAAATGTGTGAGCAAGATCCAGAGTTTTGCAGAAGCTGTAGAAATCGGCTAGTTGGTCTGCCTATAGAAAGAACATAAAGATCAGTTCGCATGCATTCAACGATTCCATAAGAGAGGTATAGCCTATAGGTAGAGAACAAACAAACGACCTGTCTCCCAGCTCTTTTGTAGATGTCCAGAGCTTTAATGGCTTCATGCTTAGGCATCTCAAAATACTGCAAAACGAGAGAGAGAGAGAGAACGTTATGAACAATGCTTGGTTAAGATGCCGGCAAGGCCACCGAGGGGAACACGAAACATTCATGCTTACCATATCCACAAGATTAACGATCCCATCATTGATGGAACAGTACACTTTGAAGCTCTCCTTGACAACCTGTTTCATTGGGCAGCAAATGCAGTTAGTCCGAACAAACGAGCCAGCTAGGCATCCGATCGGCTTTCAACGAATTCAGTGTTTACCAGAGCAAAGGCGTATTGGATGAGAAAGTTGCGGCAGGCAAGTCCTTCAGGCTGCAAGAGATGAGGTTGGTTGGTTATAAGCCATAACCGTAAAACAAAAGATGATTGGAACTATGGCATCCGAGCATTACTTGGCAACAGAGTAGGCGGTACAGAAGCTGCTGCAGTGAAGGTAGGTGTTCTAGTATCTGTTGAGCGTTCGACATGTCGATTTTACACTTCACCTAACACAGCAGTTAAACATTCCACGGTGATTTTCACTTCTGAAGGATGTCGAGGAACAGACAGCGCAATTGCTGAAGAAGAAGAAGCATTACTTACTTTGGGCGCCCCTGGTTTCGACACTCTGTCAGCCTCAATATCGAAGTGCAGTGCTCTTAAGCACTCGAGTCTTTCCTCTAGAAAGAGCGCGTATGCACGGACCCAGGCAGAGCAATCCCAAGCTGCATCAGAAGAAGATATGTTTAATCCATTCAAAAACATGTTGTTGTGATTATGGAAAATGATTCACTGGCTGGGTCTTCACCTAGACTATTCGAATCGTCTTTGAAATTAGATATTCGGAATACATTCCCCTTCCTGGAGACCAGGTGTATCAACTGTTCTTTGAAGCTCGGATCGCCTTCTCTTAGCATCCTATGAAAAACGATCAAAGCTTTCACAGCTACCTGGAAAGGAGAACCACTACACCAGATTATCCACGAAGGATTGAACGGCGAATCACAAAGAACACATGCTAAACATTTATCGATGGAAGGGGAGAAATTGGTTCACAAGGAACCAGGAAAACAGAATTGAGTTTGAAGGTCGATTTATCTGGAAAATACGAATTGAAGGAACCAGGAAAACAGAATTGGGAGGTAGGAATTACGATCCAGCTGCGTGTCTTTGCCAATCTCCTCGAAAGTGCGTAGATGCAGTAACCAACGTCAGCTCGCGGGCACGAAATCATAACCGCTGAAAATATCTCTGCCGAACACACAGAGCACGAGAATCGCCATTTTTTTATGGAGAAATTCAATCGCGTTATCAAAATTCCTCCAACGGAATGTAATTTCGATCGATATAATAAATATGCAGAAATTATAGCTCACTTCTAACGTGACGTTCCTTTGGGGGAGAATCTACATGATTGGTGGCCTTGACGATCGCAATATCCAAATCCTTGCAACAAATTACCAAACGAATTCAAACTCAGACCGCCAGAAAACAACCGATCGACATTTCCAAACAGAAAAATCACAACACAGAACAATGGATCAAAATCTCCCCAAATTTTGCAATTAAATCAATCCAATCCAATCCAATCGAATCAATCAATCAGGCTAGGCGCACGCACCTTGAACTGGCCATTATTGACCTTTGCAAGGCCCACCGTGGTGGAGTCCTTGAGAGCTCCATAAGCCTTGCGAAAGCTTTCCATTACTGGTGACGCCATGCAACGCCAATATCAATCAATCAATCAATCAATCAGAAGGAGAAGAGAACGTATCCGAATCCGAGAGAGAGAAGAGGGCGGGCTTGCTTTATGCGCTCTCTCTCTCTCTCTCTCTCTCTCCCTCTCTCTCGTTGGCAATCTCTGCATGCAATGAAAATGCTTCCTCTCATTTCTCCATATTTCATTTTCCTCTCTAGCGACGTGTTTGGATTGTGAATATTTGAAATCAGACCGGCGGTTGCATGCCAAATGACGTTTTTGCCCCTGACAGTTGGGGGTGTTGTCTCATTTTTGGTTCCGCTTTTGCTTCGCGCATCGTATCGAGGTTTCGATTTAGTTTTTTTTTTTTTAATAAAATGAATACAAATCTAACACGCCTATCATAAAATGGCAAATAATGTTTTCAATTGATGCAGCACGTCATGAATGATCATTGTAATTTTGTGATGAAAAGAATAAAATATACTAGGAAGATTAATTAATATCCATGATATCTATCTATGATAATCAAATTTGTAAAATGAACGTTTAATTGAATTATAAAAAGTTATAGACAATGAATCTGCTACAAAAGCAATAAATTATTATTGCTTCTCTACAAATCTTTATTACATAAATTTCTTTTCATGCTTACAAGGGATGACATATTAATTTTTTGGTACAAATTGACAATAGCACGCTACTTGAGCAAATCACTCCGCCAAAGCTAGAAAAGATTACTTCAATTTGCCATGAACAACAGATAGTATGATACAGAATGATACACCGGAAATTTTATGCCATCAAATTCTCAGTATGCTAAATTCTATATTAATATCATACAAACCTTCAATACACCGATACTTTAATATAACAAACTTTTCAGCATGTCAAAAAAATTTCATATCGATGCATTGGAAATTTTAATAAATTCAGTACTTCATTGAAATTTCAATACATTCAGTACTTTCTATCTTCATCTCTAATAATGAGAAAAGATTTGAAATTAAGGAGAAATATATATGGAGGTGCCGGCCAATTAAGATGACATTTATACACCAAAACACGTCTTTTCTGTGCACAAAGTCCCTTTTTGATGTGTATATATATATATATATATATATGCATACAAACAATGCCAGATTCTCAGATAGATATATATGGCTATTACAAAATTGCCAAACATTTTTGCATATTCTTAGAAGACCACGGCGCGCGCAGCGGTTGAGGGAGCACCGGGCGGGTCGCCAACCAACACTCTAGCATTCAGATCCTCCCCCCGTTTTTTCTAGAAGTAACCAATTTGCGCCTTTTGGCAGCCAGTTGGGGCCGCAGCTGCATGAATTCGTCGTTGGTCATTTTAGTTGGGAGTGGAAAGAGAATAGAAAGTAGTATGCGCAGCGAAAATGAGAGTATCAAAGAATTGTCAAACGTACCAAATCTATGTACTTCAATTGCCTCATAACTTCTTCCGTGTCGACCTCCTGAGACAGAAATAGACAGCAAAGTTATTATAGAGAAATAGCTGGCGAAAAGTATAAGCTTTGATGGAAACAGGAGCTGGTTGTGGGGCAAAAAAATGGCTTTTATTTGTTAAGAAATCTTGATCAGGAAGAATTCGATATAAACTTCTTTACCTGTCCATATTGCATAGTTTCATGGACCGAATAAAATTAAGAAATGGCGAACAAAAGAAATGACACAAGAATATTCAAAACTAGAGGAATTTGGGCAGGACTATGCTTTGGAGTAAAATTGGAAACTACTGAGAAATTTAATATCACCGTGCGAAGAAGAAAAAAATTGTAGCATATAAATACCTGGGGCACAGCGCAATCGCTGTGGACTGGATCCCAAAGAACACATCGGAAGCATTCCCAGTTGTCAGTTTGAGCTTCAAAAAGGGGTGCCCTGGCATATGTTCAGTTCCGAAGTTTACAAACATGAATTGAAGTAATCGCAACATGTTCATCAAAATTTGCTATATCATGAGAAAAATAGTAAGGGATGCACAGACACATGTTAATGGTAGCAGTCATAGTTCCAAGGATCGAACTTTGAGATTCAGATTAGCTGGTGATAATTCACAATTTTCGGGTCAAAGTTCAAATAATGATGAAATTCTGTTATGGAGCAGTTGGCTCCTTTAAAGACTTCTTTGGTTGTCGACTACAAATGTTGATTCTTCAGATTCAAGAAAACAAGAGAAATACTAGATATACATATAGAGCATTTTACAAACTTTCTAATGCATCTGAAAACTAACATTTTTGGAAACACTGAACCTCGGTGCAAAAATTTTTAACTAGCAAACATAGTTTGGTAAGTTAGCTAAATGTGGTTTTGTAGGAGTGAAAACTGCCAGGAAAGTAATATTAGTTTTAAAATGCCATCATGAGCAATCCAGATGATTGATCTCTTTGTGAATAAGCCGTTTCAAGCAAATCTTCATTTTAGAAACTCTGGATACTGGAAGACTCAATTTGGAGGCGAAAATCTAAAATTCCTTGGGCTGTGGACAACAACTTGATTCCAAATTCTTCATTAATCAGTGGCAGCAATATAAGCCTTTAACAAGATCCATCTCCTACGTTCCAATGGTCAAGATCTAAAACCCATCCAAGAAATTAAATTGGGAATCTTGTCCAGTTGTCCCAATTCCCCAGACTCTTTTGAAGATCCCGAGGACTGTTTCTTTAAGGCCTGGTTTTGATCTCGCACTATTTTAAAATAAATATATATATTTGAAAATCACCGAATCAAACACACTTATTTTTCCATTTAATACATTACATTTTCATTCAAAATATCACATCAAACACTATTTCAATTCCAATTTTACTAATCCCAAATCCAAACCTTAAAGAAACACACCTAGACAGTCCTCTTTCGATACCAGATTCAGTGCCATTTGACTTCATCCCCGAGGATAATGCCAGACTTTATCCTGCACCTTTTAGAAGTATTTTTGGTATTCTCAGCTAAAGATGGGAACAAAGCCGTTCAGATGGCTTTAACCTTCTTCAGCTATCTAATATTACAATCTAGAATTTTATTCTCTAAGAATAGGGCCTTTTTCTCAATTTCAACTAGAATTTTTTGTCTAACAAGGAGCAATCGCCAGAGATGCACTCTTTTTCCGAAGAAAAAGTTGTCATCGAATCCAGCTTTTCCTAGAAATCCTATCAGGGTTGCTAAACTTGTTCACATTGTTTTCTTCTATAACAGGAATGTGCATTGCTTATCCATGTTCATGATGTAAACCATCTGATCTTTTATTTTTTTATTTTTTTCATTTTGGAAAAGAAAGGATTTTATAAATTCCAAGATAGGAGGACTACAGCCTGTTGGAGAGTTCGGAAACAGATAGAGAGATAGGTATAGCAGCTGAATCTAGGGCCAAATAGTTTTGGAAATCTGAATAGCAGGACGGAATAAAAGTTACAACCAAATTGAGAGATTTTTCTCTTGTTCCATGTTTTTCCAAAAAATCTGACATTCTGTTTGCACCACGAGAGATGCGTTGGAAGATAATGAAGGGGGATCTAGAAATGTAGCAGCGGAGCTTATTGATGTCTGGATAAATTTCAAAGAAGGTTCAGCGCCTTGGCCTCATCGAACAGCATTCTTTGAATCACACTCAACAATAATTCGAAACAATGGTCCAGACTAAGCCGGAACAAGATATTCAAGGACTTGAGTGAGGCCAAGAATTTCCAACATTGAGTTTCGATAGGATAAATATAATATGCCCAAGATGATCCCAGATGACTGCACCAATACCACCCGATCCCCTCTTTCAAAAGTGGACCTATCCGAGGATAATTTTCCACCAGACTTTAAGAGGGAATTCCCATGATACCCCAGAGGATACGCTTTCGATTTCTTTTTCTACACATTGGAGATGTGAGGAAGTTTATTTAGTAAAGAAGCAAAAGGGATATCCATGTTGGGAAAGTACTCTCGATACCAATCTCTCAACATATAGACGAGTCTAGAATATGACCCAATCGGATGAAATTCCTTATTGTTGAAAATAACTCCATTAACCGCGACCTTGAGAACTCTATTCCAAATTTTAAGAATTAAGAGGACTTATTGGCAAGGGCATGACACTGAACTATATTTCTAAGTGTTCTGAACTAACATTCAAACTAAGACCACCATGGCATATTCAACTCTCTCTGAAAGAAGTATTCTCAAGGTGATTGTGATTTAGACTAGAACTATATAACACCAGGTTTTAATTAGAGTCCAATATGCTGCCGAGTAACACACTCAAAGGCTTGAATGGTGACCATGCATTCTGAAAGATTCGAGGCTGCCAAACCAATGTGTTTCTATAGGATGAAAAACAATACAATCAAGGTAATCCGATCACAGCTTGAATACCTGCTGCTCCGGTTCTCCAAAAGTTGATCCGTCCATATTGATTTTTCACGAATTGGAAGGGAGGGCTGTCCACGGCACAGAGCAACACACTATAGGCTTCTTTTTATGCACAAAGGAGACGTCTTGAAGATTATTAACCATAGAACTGAGGTTGGAAGGGGAGTGCGTGCACTACCAATCTCCAACCAAGAGACAAAACCTAAGGATAATCTAGTTAATGAGAATATCTCATTGTTGAAGATAACTTCATTTTGACATTTCCAAATTTCCTAAAGAATAGCCTATTGCAATCTTTGCCAAATTTCAATGTCGGGGGATTTATTGGATGCAAGAAGATGGCCAAACTTAAGAGATGCTTCAGAAATTGAGGAAGTGGCTATAAATGGTGTTCACATAGTGACAATCCAGAAACAAATGAGGAGTCATATGAAGATACCATAGAGGGCATCAATAGTAACTCAAAGTTAATGAGGCCTAAGAAGTTATAGAATGAAGCACAATACACAAAAATTCTCTAAAAGGGATGATCTTAGATATTACTAGAAGAACTAGTTCTCTACTCAATCTCATGGAATATCCCCAAGTATCTCAAGAAATCACGGTTACCCCTTACTTATCTTTGACTTCATCTCCAGTCTACAATATCTCATTGATAGGAAGGACAATCCTGTTTGCCTATTCCCATCATATGAAACTTGCTGCCTAAAATCAACTCCTCAATCTATAGCTTGTTTGTTAATATAAACTCCTAATTTATTTCCATGTCAAAGTTGAAATATAAAGATTATGCTTATTGAAATGAAGAATTCATATTCACCTGCGCCATTTTCCACATATAGTGCCATCAACACTGTCGATGACTTCTTGGCACTGAATCCAATTACCAATGGAACTCAGCTTTACAGTTTTGGTAGCATCCCTTCTCTGCAGAGAATCATACAATGAGATCCTTCAACAGGAAAACATGGTCTTTTCTAGGTACGATGAACAATAATCATCAAAAGTTTTTACCTCCAAGTTTATGGCAGTTGGAGGATCCACTTCTAATGTTTGACCCATAAGGTGACTTGCCCTACAGCAGCAGTAAAGAGGGAATTATAGAAGCATATAATTTATTAAGGAGATGAATTACAAAATAAAAAGCATCAAAGCACGAACTTAAAAAGAAATAACACCACTAATCATAGCAAAACTGAAGTTTTTTTTTTTTTTATTTTTTCATATCTCACAGAACAAAGCTAACATTAGCAAAAGTGAGGACAATGGATCCTTTGAGATAGTATATCATTTCCCGAAATAATTTCCCAATTTCTTCTAGACACAAGCAGAAAGAAACAAGATACGAAAAATGACGTGTTTGCATATTGGTTCTGCTTGGGTGTGCACACCAGAGACCATATTGATGTACCATTGAGATATCTTTTCATAATATATAGGTTGGATTAATAATAGGTGCAACAGAGACCGTACTCAGTACAAAAATATTATTCTCCGTTTGCCCAGAACCAAAACTTAAATTAATCGTACTAAGATCACCAAAGCTAGCCCATTACTGAAAGATATTTCTTTCTAATGGTTTTTATAGTCTTTTTCCTTATAAAGCTAGGCCAAAGGAAGAACGCACACACATAAAAAAAAAAAGGGGGTAGGGGGGGGCACAATTACCATTTTTATTGTCTTTTGGTTGGGAAACAGAATTCCAACAAAATCTAATGAGACTGCAGGAACATTCGGAACTTCAGGACAATGTATACTCCAAAAAAAAAACTCGCAGATAATTCAATGGTGGAAAGTTGAAAAGGTATATATATATACACACTCACACATATTTATAGTACACTAATACTCAATGTATATAGCCAAGGATTTGAAGTATAAGAACTATAGACAAAAGATGTTTACAACAGAAGTAAATTCAAGATAATGTTAGAAAGATAAAGTTTCCACTTGGACAATTCAGACAGAATGAAGGTGCAAACTATGTTAGCAGGTAATCATCACCATCTCTATAATGGAGCGCATCATGAACTCCAGAAGTCGTTCAGACAACAAAATAATCACTAGCTACAGCAAGTAGCAACTACTAAATACTATGCAAATTCACCAAGAATGCAAACAAACACAAAAGTGGAGAGGCAACAATTTTAGCAAGGGGCATGCCTTACACTTCCATGCCGAGAGTTCATGAAAAGAAATCAGGTTAATAAAAGGACACACAATGGAGAACAAGATAGACCAAGGAGTGTCCATAAGAATGGAAGGCATTGTAGTTGCAAAGGAGAGGCTAAAGCATCAAAACATTAAAAACGATTGCAAGAATATGCAGATTGTATACAACACACAAGATCACGCTACAGTCTTTGCATAAGAAAAATGGAGTCAGATCCTAAAATTTAAGACAGAAATGTATCTCTGATGAAAAGCAGTGAGGGAGAGGAGAGAAAAAAAAAAAAAAAAGAAAAAGAAAAGTTGTTTTGCTCAAACAACCATCACGAAAATTAACTAAAACAAACTTTCATGAGTCACATTAATGTATAAGAGTAGAAGAAACTTACTCATCGTCGAGGCCTAGCAAATCAGGAATATCAGCTTGAAAATCACTGCCAATTCGTACCCTGGATTGATATGGCTCAGTGTCTCTGAACATAAACCTTAAGGACCCTAATTTGTCAACCTCAGTGCTGTTATCGCCTGAACTATTGGATGGCTGATTGCTTAATCTTTTGTTCTTCTTTTTCAGACATAAATTGCAATGCCACTCACCAATAGGTAATATTGATATATGCGGACTGTAGCATGATAAATGAAATCCTTCCTCACAGTTGTCGCATATTAGCATTCTTAATGTTTTCTCCAGGCGCTTGCAAACTTTGCACGGCTTTATACAGTAGTGATTGTCACTAATGCCAGAATTTCCTTGATGCTGTCTTGTCTGAAATGTATCAAGCAATCCCTGGGTTCTGAGAATTGAAATGCATCTCTCTCTTTCTGATAACTCTTCGGACGTCTCATTTGCAAGCAATCCACCAGAAGAGGAGCACTCGCCTGCATCATCCGAGTCATGTTTCAATGAGGCTGAACTCAGTTCCACATTTGATTTTGAAGATGAATAATTATCATTGGCACTGCAGGTGTTCAAATTTCCCCGATCATCTGTCATCAAAGTCACTCCAGAACCTGCTTTCACCTCAGTACGGCATCCATTCGAGAGTGTATCAGCAACTGCATCCCAACCAACCGAACCCATAACTGAAGACCTTACACCATTTTTCGCACCCTCAGAACCAGAAATGGTGTTCTCTTGAGTGGCCGACGAAGGGGTCTCAAAACTCATGGCGGAGCGACAATCATTACTTGGCTTACTGCTACAAGATATCTGAACACCAGAAATGGAAGAACTCTTTCTCTTTCGTTGGTATACTAATGTTGATGGGGAACTTTTCAAAACTGTACAATATTTCCTTTCGTGGATTGAGGAAAATAAATTACCATCGTATCTCCTCCCCTTTGGACAAGGCTCTTCAAAGCTGTCCATATTGCGGCAACGGGTTCTGGAATACTTTTGTTCCATACAAACTATAGTTTCAGGAAGATTGAAGTCCAGTAACGACCATCTACAACATATATGGAAACTACGTCAGCATTCTCAACTGCTATAATAAGCCATCGCATGTGGTTAATAAAATCTATTTAACGAATCACCAGAAAACTACATACCAAAGAAACTATAATACAGCAGCAATAATCTAATCAGAGATATACATTTTTTAGCACATATAATACAGTATTGGGTTTTGATCTACATGCCTGAAAGCAAATCTACACAGTTTTGCCAATACATTGTGATAGTGTATCAAATTTAAATTTTCTGTCTGAGGAGTGATCAAGCGACAAACTCATGACATCACAGCATAAGTTGTTCCTTTTGAAACAGTAGGTTTGTCTCTAACTTAATACTTTTTTTTTTATCGGAAAGTTTACGACTTTCTTTGAACAAAACATGGAGAAACTCATCCATTAAACATCATATGGAACTGCATGTCATTCTTGGATAATTCATGAAACAATAATGTTCAAATAAGATATAGAAATGATTTGATATGAAGTGGGAGGAACAACAATACCAACACCAAAATTAAATAAGACTAGGATGGCACTAAATGAATAAGACTAGGATGGCACTAATGAAAAGCAATTTCAGTCACTTACACAAGGCACTACACAAAAATAGGCAACTCATTTGGGTATCATAAATGTACCATATAACACAAATATAAATGATCCACATGCCAAAAGAGATACATGTTCGTACCATATTGGACACAGAAGCAAACACTAACAGAAAATGCAAATGGCAATAATACTGCGTCTAACACATCCAAATTATTAGAAAAAAAAAAGGATGGGTGAAAAATCAAGTTTCGGCACCCATATAAAACAGTATTTGCAAAGTAGAGAGACAATGCACAACAATGAACAACAGAAATTTGTTCGCACATCTATACAGACAAGAATGACCCGGCTCACCAGCTCTCCCACACAAATTAGCAAATACTGCAATGCACAATCAGGCAGCCTACGTTATTTTTGTCTTCGAGTTCAGCTTAACTGGCAACAAGAGGTGAGCACATAGCCAAGGCCATAGCATAGCAGCTTTTCGTAATATGCAGCACGAGCATAGAATAGGCTATTGAAGGGCAGGTCAATGCAGGCTAATGATGAATGGGGGAAATAAGAGCTTATAGGTGACAAGTATCATAGCACGCTGTGACTTGGACTAGAAAGAAGGAACCACAGCCAAAAGAGAGAAAACTGTGTTCTTAAAGCAAGAAGAAACCTGCAGCCACCAGTCAAGATTCTAAACTCAGTAGCTGCATTGCGTGGTTGTATAAACATCACATAGTGCAGAGAAAGTTTGGCGCAAGTTCACGTTGTGTGTTCAAAGAAAGGAGATGGCAGTGCCATTATGCCGTTCCCAGAGATTTAGATCTTTGTGGGGTGGCATAAGGACACTGCAGTTAGGTTTTCTATCGATGTGTCTTCTCTATATTATATATTTATGCAAAAGAAAGCCAGATCCATAATCATCTCTAATGTCAAACCCCAAAAGGACTAACTATATTTTGGTTGTAAGATGATCCGGGAACAATGAGAATCAAAAAATGTGTCAAACAGATTCAGGGTTGGGTCAGTAACAAATATATAAGAGCCCCTAAACTTATAAAACCTAAAACAAAACTAAACAAGAGCACTGCATCTACCTAACTTCAAGGTATCAAAATGCCTCTACAGTTGACAATCAGGAAGAAATGTATTTTTAGGAAAGGTCAAATCTATCTACATCGTTTCCCATTGCATTTTTAACATGATCCCCACAAAACCCCATGTATGCTAATTCAGCTCAATGTTTTACACCTAAGCACAGCATTGTGTAGATAATTGTACGGGAAGAAAGAAAAAAACAAAAGTGCACATAGGAGCTTTCAGTCTCCCCCTTCCCGATGATATCTTGATATAGAGCTTATCAGGTAATAAGAGCCAAAGGTAGTACGAGCAAAGAAGTACGGGCTATGGATCATCCCAACAAAAGCGTTTGACAAACTTCTGTTCCCAGAACCATAACAGGAATTTATCTTAACACTAATCTATGTTATCATGAATGTATCTTTAGCATAAGTAACAGCCAAATCATTTGTGGAGACTATAATTTTATGTGAACACAACCCTTGTTCTCACAAAAACATCACCACTTACAAAGATAAGCATAGAACAACCAATTGAGAAGCATCTATGAAAATAATTTCTTGATTTGCCTTTACTGCTACAGAGCACAAAATGGTCGTACAAATAACTAAAAGGTTCAATATAGTGAATTTTCGAATACTTCCTAAACATAAATCTGTTCAACATATATCAACGTTTAGAAAAAGTCTAATCATCAATCATAGCAGCAATAAGCTTTCTTTGTGAAACTGTCAGCAGTATATATTGTTCGAAAATAGCTTTAGTAAAAAAAACTGTAAAGAAAATCAACAAATAAGTCAGATTATAAGAACATGATAAACCCTACACCATTCATAGTCAGATTAACCAACGAAACCAGATTCTATTATCAATGAACCTAATCAATCCTGAAAATAATAATCTACAAACGTCTCATAGAAACACCATCAATCAGCATCAGTCCTCTCATATATAATCATGTATTACAATCGAATTCTTGACTTTCGACAAGCCATCACTCCATACATACACAAATCCATCACTTCTATAGGGCAAGCCTTCAAACTCACAACTACCCATTCCATTCCATGAATCTCTCTCACACTAAACTACCCAAGTTCCAAAAATTAACACACGCATCTCATCCCAATGTTCTTCCACAGCCACATCCTTCTAACTCTAAGGGCTTCCCACACACCATCAACAATCCAACCAGACTGCCAACAAATCAAAAAGTGGCATCAAACCGTTCTCACAGACGAACTCACACGGACTATAAAAATATAAATGATTAGGATGGCCAACGGAGTGAATTTCTATCTGTCCTCAACCTATCAAGAACAAAATCTTGTAGAAACGTAGTAACTGCTCAGACTATTCCCATCAGAATTTCAAGAAAAGCGAAAATTTGAGATTTTTAAAAAAGAATCACGAAAGCAGCCTAATAAACAAAAGATATTGACAGGAAAAAACTTGAATTCCTTTCATACCTTCAGGCTGCCATTGCAACAAGTGTTGCATAAAAGCCTGCCTGGCAATTTGTTGCAGGGGTTTGGGGGTGGGATGGGTTGGGTTGGGTTTGGTTTGGTTTGGTTTTTCTCAAGAGAGAAGGCGGAATAATTCGGTGCTGTACACAATGTGCAATGATGTTGGGATTTGGAACGCTTTGGCAATTGACACCCTCTCTTTTATATATATATATATATATATATATATATATATATATAGAGGCAAATTGGGAAAAGGGTTGGAGGATTGATTCAACTTCTTGATTCAAAATTATAGACGTCAGAAATAATTTGCAATATAATAATTATTATTATTATTAATGTATACTTATTATTATCGTTCATATCCTTACAACATGGGAACATGCGGCATTCTTGTCTTACATAGTTTCTTGGAAACGTTTTTACATTCCTGGTTTTAGTTTGAATTTGACCAAATTTGATTGTTGTACGTGTGAGTGTGTGAAGTTTTAGTAGATCAGATTGATTGTAGTGATTGTTGCATGATCCAAGTTTGGTTTGGTTTAGTACATATTTGACCATATTCTATTGAGGGATTTGGAGATGACATCACAAGAGAATGGCTTTAGAACAAGATAGACAGCTGCAAGAAGCTTGAATTCGATTGCTGAATCAACATCTAGTTTCAGAATGTGGTTTTTTTTTCTTCAAGGTGTCGTAATACACGGTTGATCGATTCGAGTGACATTCCAGGTAGCAAGTTCCAAACTGAATTTTCAGTGGAACCTAAAGATTGAGGACACATCAAGATTAGTTGGATAACATATGCTATTTCAACAGCATTCGTGCAGATGGGATTCGGGTGCTCTATATCAGTTTTGAATGCAAAATGTGAGCATCCCATTGCTCGCTGGCATTTTCCATTACACTGCCACTCGAGCATTCATGTGCTTGGCTATTTCACCAAGCTTAATTAAGAGCAAAAATATGTGATATCGTTTAAAGGTAGATCCATACACAAGGATTAGTTACAAGCATGAAATTTCTGTTTGTTATGCACATATGCTAGTTTATGTAACTGTAGGATTTTGATTTTGGTTTTGAACACACCCAAAACGTTATGAAGTATTCGCAGGCGGATCAACAACTAAAGAGAAGCACCTTACCTATTTTCTTAGAAACATAACTACCAGGCCATTGTCAAGAATCCATGAGTTCATATGAATTTATTTTAAAATAAAAATTAAACCTTGTAAGCTACTTGGGACAACCTCTGTACAGAAATATTGCTCCATAGCCTCCAAACTTGTCATTTGCATGGCAAGATTATAAACTGCCCCTGCACAAGAAACATAAAATGTGACTTAAAGTTTATACATGAATTAAATCTTCCAACGAAACAGCATATATTTTGTCTGGTCATGCCAAATAGTGATAAATCTGCATCACAAATCATACATGGTTCCAATGCAACATGAAGACTGCATATCGAATTTCACCGTAATTTCTTCCATTGTAATACCATTTTTCTGCTACTCAAGCAGCACACTGATTGCTTCCATGTCTGCAAGAGCCTGCCGATATATAGTTTTTAAATAAACAAAAGATCAATGAGATGAAGAAATGCCAAATCATAACAAAATTTAGAAATGGTTCAATTCTTGAAAATGCTTCAGGAAAATTTGACCAGAGAAATAAAGACATTATTAAAGTCGATGGTCATTCTTTAAAATAAGTGGCTCCAGTCCTAAAGCAACCTCAAAGTGAAGTAGATTATACAATTCAAGGCACTAGGGCTGCTCTATGATCAATAATAGAAGAGTCTAGAAGATGATATGGTAAAATCTCATTATATATTGCCTATAATGAACAAACTGTCCACATAGAAATCACATAACAGTGCCTATAAATAAACTATGTTTTGCATCTTGGTGTAACAGAGTATTCTAAAGACTGAAAGTGACGCCAACTTCATCCTCTGTGGCTTCTTTGACACCATTTTTACCTCTTTGCCTTTGTTGCTCTCTATCTCCACCACCAGGTCTTGTTTTCAACATCTTTATGATGTGGAAAAGACACGAGCCAAAGAGAGCATTGCAGATGAAATGGCTGACTATTAATTTGGGAAGAATGAGAATGTTATTATAATTTCACGGCAAATCATATCAAAAAATGACTCCTCCATGGAACAGTAAGATATAAAGACCTGATTAGATATTTCAAAATAATTCAAATTTTCCATTAGCGCACACCAAACATCTTTGTTTTCAACATCTTATTATAATGTTGGACGATGTAAATGATCGTTTCATCTAAAAATTTAAGCTTGCAGGGATATGAATTAATTATTTATTTAAATTTTTACCGGAGTCAACCAACATCCACTATTTTTCCCTCCAAAAAATTCAAATTTAAAACAAACAACAAAAAACATCCCAAAACACAAGTAAACACAGCTAAGTTTCTGCTCAGAGGAAATTATATTTTCATTCTCACATGTAGCAGCATGTTCCCTTCCAAAAAATATCATATTACAGAATCTCAATCATCCATAAAATATGTAGCATACAATTGTGCTTTCTCTCCCACATAGCATAATCAAATTCCTTCTAAAGAGATTATCATGTTTTTGTGTGTATATATCTCGTCATACATGATTAAAATAAAATTAAGGAATAAGAATGTTCCCTGTCAAAGGTATTTTCTAAGTAGCACAAGTATATTTTGTTTTTTTTTTTTTTTTTTTGAAAGTGAATATGTTTTATTAATAGAAAGCTTGATAGAGGAAAATGCTACATCCAAATAGATAACTCATCATTTCCCATGGCACCGTGCGTAGCAAAGAAGCCAACGACGCCATTAGCACTCTTGGGAATATGTTGAAAAATGATGAGGGTAAACTTATCATTGTAAAAGTGAAGCTTGTTAATATTCATAATCTAACTTCCAAAGGGTTGAAGAGCCAAAGGTCCAACCAAGATTCGTGGAATCATTTAATACTTTGACAATTTCTCCTTCCAAGGATCCCTGTTAGGCCAAATTCTTGTAATGAAGAAATAAAATCCTCAATTTCTAGAGATTTATTAAGATGGTGAAGAATAAAAATGCTAGAGGTGGCTTGTTGAATAACAGGGTTGAATGCTAGATTTATTTGTTGCAATGTTTGGATTTTGATTTCATGTGGGTATCCTTTCATTTATTTATTTTATTTCATATTGATTTTATTTGGGCTTTTGATAACATTTTAAGTATTGTAGATTCATTACTGTTTTCATCTTTGTGAACTTATAAGACATAGAAATTAATATGTAATTTAAATTAATGAGTACTTCATTAATCAACAACTCGATAATTTTTTATATAATCATGGTGTGTTCTTTTGTATTTCTCCTTCCCGCACCCCATTTCTACATTTTAACTATTAAAACTATTACTTTACCTCCAAACATATCCAAACAAACAACATAAAACACACACACGAAAAAACACACAATTGCTTTATAATTTTCTTAATAACTTTTTTATGTGTATTTAATACAATATTGATTTTTTGTTGTAGAGAATATGATTCTTCTTATAAACATGTTACATGCATATATATAAATATAGAATCTATCAAACCAAATAAACTCTAATAAGCCTATCATAATCTAACTATCTAAACTATATAGTCAACACTCCCCTCAAGTTAGTGTGTATATATATGTATATATCATGCCTAGCTTGTTACAAATATGGTTTATTTGTACTGCACTTAGTGGCTTCGTGAATACATCTCCAAACTGGTCTTTAGACTTGACATATTATGTAGAGATAATCCTTCTTGAACCTTGTCATGGACAAAGTGGTAATAGAATTCAATGTGTTTCATGCATCATGGAAATTGGATAAGATGAAATATACAGGGTAACTTAGTTGTCACATAATAGGATTATGTAGTTAATCATTAAGTTTAAGAAATGAAGTAATCCTATCAAACAAGGCATTGGCCTCCTCTTGTAACTTGGCTATAGAAGGCACTCTCCCATTATTTTGTAAACATCTCAAGTGCAAGAGAGCAAGAGATGAAATATGAAAGATTTTCAAAGTCCTAAACAAATTCTTAAGATAGTGTTGTATACAGCAGGATAGGCTTGGTTATTTATTTACTAACCTCTTTTGCTTTTCCTTTTCCGAAAGTTTGAGGGTAGAAAAACAACCCTTTTCTTTGTCCAATTAAATCCCCACCTCATTGAGTATCTTATCTCCATGTCATATGTTGTAGTTGGTTTCCTATTTCATCATCACAAGATCCTTTGCATGTTTTATTTTGTTACTCAACGTATTCATAAATGCCAGTTGTATATGGCCTAAATCACCATATTCAAACTCCACAACATGTGTATATTTCTCTTGCATAGCTTTTGACAATAGCTTTAATTGCAGTGAAGCACAGACGTGATTCTACATTGTAGTGATTATTCCTATACTGAAAGAGGCTCTATAACACCCTCGGCCTACAAGCCACGCAAGTCAAGCGTCTTGGGATCGTAGACTGGCCCTATAGGTCAAAAAGAGTCACTTCATCCATCCTGAAATTTTCCTAGAGCATATGCACATTATTGATATACATAATCTAATCAACCCTTTTAAATTCAACTTAACTCTACTCAACTCCGGGTATCACAGACTCGTTTTTATGTTCTAATTTGATTGTACCTTCTACTTTTGTCATTGTGCATACAAGATATTTGTCAAAAATAATGCAACATATATATATATATATTCACCTTGTTGTTCTTCAAGCACATTTCTCAGATACAATTTCAATACCTACCCTTTATAATAGTTGTTGCCAAAATAGTTTCACTTATATTTTTTAATGGAGCGACTTAAAGTATCAAACTTTAGCGGGGAGCTTTCTTGGATACTATTTCAAATTAAAGCCACTTCAGCAATAAATGAACATTTTCGAATCTACTTGCTTTTTGGGAAACTCCTCACCAATCTTGAACACCTTGTCCCTCTTTGAACTTATTGTGAAAGATGATTCACTATCTTTCATATGTAAATGTACAAACATTATTTTGATTTATACCCTTGTGTACTTGGTAAGTCAAGAACAATCAAACGGAGAATTCGGTTTGCCCAGACAACATTCCGGCAACTTTTATTCCATTAAAAGGCAAATGTCCTTCAAAATCCTAATTAACACTTTACATATCCTAAAGACATAACAAAAGCCCAAACAAAGAATAATAAAAGTTCATAATACATCCGCGGCTTCCTTTTCTATCCGAGAGGACCCGACCCCTTCGACGCTTCTTTCGCTCTAAAAGCTAAGCAAAGCAAAAAAAGAAGTGATAATTAAAAGTCCAAGCCTCCAAAAGCAAGCCTAAGTTTGTCCCCACCTCCAGTACACGAGCAAGGGCTTTGCCCCCTCCTCATTCCAGAGCTCATATACCTGCTCCTTATCAATCTTGTCTGCAAACATAACCTCTCATCATCACCCAATCTAGTTACTGCCCAAGTTCCAGCCTTTAGGCCCTAAACCTTCTAGTTTTTTAACCATTGGTTCGAGAATCCCAACTTTAGGCCTTCAATATTGAATCTTATAATGAAGCTGAATGACAAAATCCAGGATTTCTTGGATAGCGGATAGTTATGTGAACTCAAAATTCTTCCACAAATTCATATCATCTAGGCAAGCTACCAACAAAATTCTCACATTGAGTGTCAATGGGTAGACCACCTTAAACTCTTTGAATGACATCAAATTGGGAGTCTACCATCGTTTCTCCAACATATTTTCCAACTCAGGCCAATCTCTCCTAGTCCTTAATCAAATTGCCTTTGACATCCGTTCACTGGATAGTGGGAAGAACTTCTCTTCACCTTTGACGGGTGACGAAATCTTAGTACACTAAGTAAAATCATTTCCAACTGACCATGCATAAATGATAAAATTACTATTTATGCATGGGAAAGCTCCAATCCACCCTGCAGTTGGGAAGTGCTATACTATTCCACAGATTGTTTTAGACCATTTTTATTATTATTAATATTATTTATAAAATAATTTTTTTATATTTTAATTGATATTTGTAGTAAAATATGTATTTGTTGATATATTATTTATTGATATTTATAGTTAATTAGTTGTATATAATTATGGTAAGATTGACATAAATTATTTAATGACAAAATTTAAAATATTATAATAGTCATCAAATAAAAATAAATAAATAGACAAAATATGGTATTTAATTGAATGCTATTTATAACTTTATTAAGTTATATAAAATTGAATAGGAAAAAATATTATTTGACCCTTCAAAAAAATTGAAGATTTGGTTGGAGATTATTATAGTTGGTCAACAAAAACAGAGAAATATATTGCCACTATTGCCAAAATAGATGGTATGGTTAAGATGGCCTAGCAAAGCTCAAGCCCAAACTGTTTCAATCTAAACATTTCAAAGCCTCTTAGGACCTTCTTCAGCTCAACACTATGCAGCTCTTTTAAGGCCTTCTATATGGCAGCTTCATTCTTCACAGGGCCGGAGATTCCTTCATCAATTGATAAAAAAGAGAAATAATTCTTTTCATTGTACTACATGCCTCTTTCCACAATATCATATTGTATGACATTTTTCCACACTCCCCCTCAAGCAAGAGAGTATAGGTTTTTTCATTCACAGCTGGGATACATTACGCTCAAATGCTAAACCACTTAATTCTTTAGTAAGCACACTTGACCTTGATACCACACATGCGCTTCTTACTCCCTCAAGACATCTTTAATGTAATAAAAGAAGGTCTATTATGCGTCTCTCTATCACTTGGTCCCTCACTTGGTCCTCCCCTATCCATGGTTGGTGGAAAAATCAACTCATACGGTTCAGCATTTGGTAAGTTGGACCCTAGCCGTATTGGAGTACTCATAAGAGAACCATTAGAACACATCAGCTTCATTCTTCCAATCCATACTGTGATAGCAGGCTGCAGACTCTAACATAGCTGAGTTACTGCCATCACCTACATCCTCTAACATGCGGCTTGATCAGCTTAGGCCGTTGCCCTAGATTTTACATCGAGTGTGATTCTAAAAATGCTTTAGGTTGGATTCACGATGCTACCCCTCCTTGGAAGAATAATGCAAACATCGATAAGCTCTATCTCTACATCTCTAGATGTCCCAGTATCACTTTTCGCCACATCTCTCACTCAGCATATGAAATGGTTTATTTATTTGCAAAACATAGAGCTAGGGGCCTGGAAATCTTATAGTTTGGCTATAACCTCAGTCCTTCTATGTTCTCGCTCAGGTACTCTAAGGGCGGTTCTCTTCTTAGTCTTAAACTCTTAGGTTGTGTTCTTTTGTGAGTTTTGTACTGATTTTTACTATTCAAATTTTTTTTTCTCTTCAAAAATATCAAATCAAACAATTAATTTTCTTATTTTATATTATACTACAAATTTATTTTACATTTAAAATATCACATCAACATCTATTTATATCACATTAAACAATTATTCAAATTCAAATTTTTACTATTCAAAAATCCAAACTCAAAAATGAAAACCCACGAACAAACACACCCTTAGTTCTTAATTTTCTATTGAATTCTCTGCCTATGTTTCTATCTTTGGATTTCCAGAGCACACCACTGTGGAATCCCAGCTTCAAAATAAACTAGATCGGAAATATAATTTGCAGGCACCCAGACATAGTCGTCCAACACATTCCAAGAAGTGGAAATAATCTGAGGGTGTGTTCTTATATCAAAGTTCACCCAAACTATACTATATATCAAATTTTTTCTTCCAAAAAAATCAACTCAAACACCTATTTTTTATTTTTTATATTCTACTAAAAATCAACTTTACATTCAAAACATCTACCTATTTATATCACATCTTAGAACTATTCAAATTCAAAGCCCCAAACAAACACACCCTGAGTGTCTTCCTTGCAACATCGAGACCCGATTGGAGTGGAACTTATTGCTTGGCTCTAAGAATCCCGAAGTGATCAAGGGTTTTAACCTTTCTAAGCTCTTGGTGTCTATTAGTTTCATCCATGTCATATCTAATGTTTTGGTTACGTGTTCTCACTCTTCATCCTAATGTAACACTTGTTTGGTTTCTATTAATATAAAATCTTCTACTTTAACAAAGGGAAAAAAAAAAGGATGTATGAGTATAAGATGAGAGAAGAATAGTTGAGCTTAGTTTCAGTTCAAGAACAAATGCAGAAATGTTTTTGTTCCCGTATATACTAGTGAATCATAAGAGAAGGATTTACAGCATTGATAACCAATGACAACCATGAAAAATGCAAAGCAGAAGCCGCACCCCCCTTCCCCCCTCTTTGATCTGTCTGATCATGCATCTTTCCAGTTATAGGACACACAAAGGATCAAATGAAAGTAATCCATGGAATTATTGTAACATCACTTGATTTATGTAGACAAGTTCACCTTTCACATGAAAGGTTCCTATGAACTTTTGTGCAATGAAATTTGGAATTAGAGAAGATGCCTACATGTGAGATTGAAAGTGATTAACTAATCCATAAGGAACTTTTCATAGCTTTGCCTTTAAGAAGAGGTTTTTCTAATGTATGCAACTGGAGTTCAAGATTATCTGTAGCATATATATTCACATAAAAAGTATCTATTTTTCAAAAAATATATTGCACATCATACCACTGTAAGTCTAACATTCTCATTACATAAATCTTGAGAGCATAACCTTATTCCCAGATACAGCTAAAGTGCTCGGCATCTTTCTCAGTAGAGTGCATTCCAAGAACCTACATCATCCCTTTATGCTCATTTTATTTTCTTACAGGAAAACATATTTATATCTATCTATATATTCTCAGAACTTCCATGAATTGTGCGGGATCCAAAGAATGTCAACTACCTAAAACTTGTGGTGTGAAGAAAGTAACTCTAAGAAGCATAGCATCACCTAAAAATAGAATTTCTATTAAAATTGTATTCAAATCAGTAATGAAGTGGATTCATGCGATTATTGCAATTACAAACTCACAAAATGTCCTCCTGATAGCCATGATCCAATCAATTAGATGAATTAGGGTGCGATATTACAAGAATAATGCGCAGAGGTACACATAAGCATTTTGAAATGATAAAACCTTAACCTTCTTGCGAAACATAAGATCCTTGGAATTTGTTTGCCAGAATGACTGCTCCAGCTTGAGCCTAAACTACATGCTCCAATAGGAAGTATTAAAAGCAGAAAAGACCAAAGAGTTCAAAGACAAGACCGTCGGCGCCTCGCCGGAGAAAGAAGAAGTGAAGATCGAACAGAGCAAGCCAGCGGCTACCCGTAGGACGACATAAAATTGACTGGAAAAATTATGGACGTGTTTGTTGTGTTCAGTTAGGCTTTCGCCATTAAATAAATCATGTTTATTTAAAACATGTGTTCATCCAACATTTCATTTTTGTGACTAGTGACTACTCCCATGAATATTTTAAAATATATATTTCGTCTTCCAAAAACATAAGTAATTTGTTTTATATATTCGTTAAGCAAATCACGTGTGACCAGTGGACTTGATGGCTTAGCTCGGATGCCGCACACAATGATCTTTCTACGATTCGTTTTCTCCATATTTCAAAAAAATAATGCAGTAATACTTATCTCACAAAATAATAAAAATTAAACAAACAAACTCCAATACTAGTTAAATTGTCACTAAATACTATTACAAAATTTGAACATGAGCAATTTTTACTAAAATTCTATTATTTATTTCTTCTATCCTAAAATATTACTACTACATTAAAATTACTATTAAAACAAATAAATAAAGAGCACATAACAACGAACCCAAAATAGCTAATAGTATCTCAAAGTCAGCCACTCAGTCGGTCAATTAAATTTATGTCATTCAACGGAGTGAAAGAAAGCAGCACAAACATGTTTACAAAAGAAGCTAAAGAGCAAAAAAGAATAATACTGTTTCAAGGCATGCATAAACATATGGCATGGCTGTTTGTTTCCTCAACAACACAAGAAGAATTATCAGCAGTTTGACCATCCATCCATCAAATTTCAAAGATTAAAAAACCCCAACAAAATAAGAATAAAAAAATCCTCAAGTCCATAGAGGCCCTCCATTGCACAGAAAATGTAATTCACTCCAAGGCGACTGGGAATAAACACACACTGGGATCAAAATCAGACACTTTGAAATCGAAGAAAAAACGCCGGAATCTATACAAACTATTCGACAATAGACAAAGAAGAAGAAGAAGAAGAGGGCTTTCTACCATTTCTGTAAGAAGGGAGAGTCTGAATTTTCCAATCTTTCTGTGTGCTTAACATTAAGATGCGCGCAGGGGATCGAGTGCATCCGCCTGCCTGCGCCTGTTAAACTGGTATGACATCCATCTTCGAAGAGTCCTCACATCTCAGCACGATGCCTTCGAGGCTGGCGGGGAGAATGAACTTGCTCCATTGGCATCCTGTTGAAAAGGGTTCGGGCGGTGGAACAATCATCAAGACACTTTCATTCCGTTGAACGACTCCCATGACGCTAACAGAGCTGCCTTCTTTGATGTACCTAAGATAGATAGATGATAGAAGACGTAAAACCCATGAGCAACGATCCAATTTTACCACTTACCAGTGTATAATTAGGTTCAGATTCATCATCATGATATCTTCATTTAGTATGTGTGTGTGTGTATATATATATATTGTTCGCCCAAATGTGACAATCCAACAGCAAATTTTATTGAAGGTTTGTAGAAAGAATCTAACCCTTCTTTGAGTCGCATTAATCGATCATCACTTGAAAGCTTTCGATCTCCTAACCACCGGACGAATTCAGGGGACATATCCCTGTTCGATGGATTGATGTCGACCACAACTGATTCATCAACGTAGGGAGTTACTTTTGCACCATAGCCAGCCTTAACCAAAGCCCTCAAACCAGATTGGTAATCAGAGATATAGAAGTCAACAACATGCCTCTGCAATCAAACAAAATGAATGAGCAAATATACAAGTAATTACATTTATTTTATTTAACTTTTATTCTTTGCTCTCAAGAGTCTAATCAAATATATCCTCAATCAATTTAATATTTCAAAAACCTAACAAATTCAGTAAACCACGGACTGAATAGCAGGGTATAAGATCCATATTCTCAATAAATGGCGTGGGATTTCCTCAGGGATGGAAATTGCAAATTCTAGAAACATGCGACTACGATTTTTATCATAAACACTGGAGACTCAAAGATTAATTGATTTATGCATTTAATGTTGTCAAGATGGAGACATGATTTGCAAACAATTTCCCAACTGATCAGGAGAATAATGATCGGTTTCTCAGAGGATAAAAAGAAAAAAGAAGATGATGGAGCTGGGTGAAAAGATCATGTGATCCCATAACTAACTACTTTATAAACCAACATTCTGTTCTCACCTCAGATGTTCGAAGGCCCCAGGTAAAGCGACGATGAGTGGGGTTTGCTGCTTTTGAATCCCAACCCCGATACTCATACAAGCTTGTGGATGTATACACACATCGAGGAACTTTCTGAAATGATGATTCAAGAGGAACATTTCCACAGGTAACAACCTTCAAAAGTAGAGGTATATTAACTTCAGATAGCATACTGCAACATAACACGGGATGACTTTGCAAAAAGGAAAAAACAACAAAACTTCAGCGAGAGTCCAGACACATCTTTTTGTTTACTTCAGATGACAGTTTTATCTTTATGTTGTAATTATCAGCTAAGGTAATGCCCACCCTGTAATCGAATATACATATTTCTTTTTCTGGATGGGCATTAAAGATGCATATTACAGAACTTTTTAATGATCAAGACACATAGAATTTAGAATTCAAAAGGTATGCTCAAAAGTGTCAAGATTTAGAAGCTTCACAAAGTTGCAAGACAGCAATGACCTATGTTCGGAGTGCAGTGAAGGGGTGTGACTTATTAATTAGAAAAGGGAATCTTAAGATTATAAAAGATAAAAATATTGCATACCCCAGAAACTTTGACAAATTGACCATCTTTTGCATATCGTAACTCAACATCTGGATGGCTAGCTATAAAGCCAGTGATAGCTCTCCTTCCCCAGCAAGTATTCCATGTAAACACGGCAGCCACTGCAGCAAAAAGTACAACAACAACAACAAGGAGGATCGGGTTGTGAACAGCTCCAAGGATGAAACCACCAGCAATAAATCCCATGATGAAAAGAAGAATGATAGCCCAAAGGATTGGCTTGGGGAAGCTCTTCCTGAATGAATACTCATCATCCTGGCTGAGATTCGTAACAGCCGGATTATTAACAACTGGAGGATGGTGCGACTTCATCGACATGGTAGACTCCAACGGACCAGATGCCTTACGGGGAGCCCCAGATGAGTTCAGAGGTCCAGATGTAATAAGGCCAGTAGTTGGGAGGACTGGAGGAAGAGGACCAGAATTGTGGCGAGACCCTCCTTGAGGACCTGATGACTTTTTAATAGGCTCACCGTGTTTATTGAGTGGACCGGAATTTGTCTTCTTCATTGAACCAGACCCAGCACCCCCAGCTGAAACGGAGCCCCGACTCACAGAATTTAATTGGCCTGAGTGGGAAGATGCACCAGCAAATGAACCTGTTCTGGAGGGAGCATTGTTCAAGGGACCTGATTTCCGAGACCTGGATCCATCGGTAGGGATATCAAACATTTTACCAAGTTCCCCAGACTTTTTGATATCACCCCCAGTGTAAGGCATGGCAACTGAACTCATTGTTGGAGTTTTCTCTTTTGGCTGCTCTGGCCGACCCGACACATAGAGGCCATTGCTTAACTGATGAGAAGGAAATCGAGAGCCCATGGCCGCTGGCTTGCTTATCGATGCCAAGAGACCCAAGTAGTATTACGAATATACACAGCCGCCGCCACAAATTGGTGCAATCTAAACGACAGGTAGTTTAAATATCAACCAATCAAATCCAGAATATTCTGACAAGAAAGCAATGGAATCAGGAACCAATATGCATACAGTATTGCTCTCAAAACCTGAATCTTACGGCATCTGCGTAAAAATAATTTCCTTTTAGAATAGATGAATATTAGCTGGAAAAGTGACCCACCCTCCCAAAACACCTCAGTGTAAAAACAAACTCCACGCTGTTGCCAACTCATACAACAGTGTATCCTATCGAATGGGCATTAATTGCACGTATAAACGATTAACTCGTGATCATCAGGATAAAAAATGGACATCTGGATACCCATCTGGCAATACAACTTTACAGAGCAAAACCGGGGATAGGTAATATAGAATTTATCGATATGAATTACATGAATTCACAATTTAATCAATCCTAAAATTTGGCACTCAAGATGCGTTAGAACTGTCTACTGGCAGAGCATACAAAAAATAGTTAGCCACTGTAACAAATTATTTTCTTTCCATATCAACCATACAACAAACTATTCTGCAGTAATTCTTCACATGGTTGGTTGAAATTACATAAAACTAAAACCTCAAGAAAGAAATAAGTACCGCATAGAAACCAGATCTGAGAACAGCTGAACTAATTCCAATCACAAATACAGTGAACAGATACAAATAATACTGAAATGATGAAAAAAAAAAAGAAACTAGTCAGTGCTCTCCATTTACAGCATCAACAGAAAAGGAAATCCTGCCGACAACACTTAATGCGCACGAAAAAATAGCACCTCTCCTTACAAACTAAATAACAGAACTTCACAGATCCAATAGAATGAAATTGACGCAGCAAACACCAAATTACCAGACGCCAAACAACAACCGCTCAAAACCCCAGCGGTGACCTTAATTTTCCAAACAAAAGGAAAAGATCCCTTCCATAAAAATCAAGACGATCCAAAATCACAAGCTCACAAATCCGGACCAAATCCATCCAGCGAATCAATGAATTCCAACAGCACACATTTCCAGTTGCACCAATATTCAGTAAAACGAACAGCAGCACCAAATCAATAAACTAAACGTGTAGAAAAAGGGGAATGCGTGGGAGGGGTAAACAGCCATAAACCCATACCTGAACAGCAAATTGAACGGGTGCGCCGACCAATCAAGGGGCCAGGGGTCAGAGATTGTGGAGGCAGCGGCCGGAAAACTCCATGGGAAGAAGATATTGAGGGGATGGAGATGAGATGAGATATTTGGGCAGAAAGAACCAAAAGGACAAAGGAAAGGAAGAACGAGTGAAACTGAAAACACACCCTTCACCTTCCTCCCTGCTTTCTGCTATTCTATCAGTTTTCTCTACTGCCTAGTGTCAAATGACTATTTTGCCCTCCCCGGTGCCCTGTATTTTCATCTCCTGCCGGATTCTTCAATCCTACGTATTTTTATAGTATTAATTTTTATAGTGTGTTCACTCAATAGAAATTATTTCTTTATTGTATGTTCTTGAATTTTTCCTATTATTATTAAGATTGTCAACTTAAAATTTTTAACATTTAATTATTATTTTTTGTTCCAGTTTAAAAATCCTAAATAAACTATTTTTACAGATCGGAGAAAATATATATACTATTATTATCATAAGTACAATATTTTACCAAAAGTAATAAAAATAATTTTTTATGACGCAAAAAAAAAAGGTATGAATTTAATGTAAAAAAAAAAATAACTCAATTAAAAAAACATAAACACACTCTATGTTTAATTGGTAATTTTTTTAAAGTAATTTGAATGTTGTATTTTTTATAAAAATAAATAAATGGTATATTTTATTCTATAATAGTGAATAATAAATATAATTATTATGTAAATAAAACCACAATAGAATTAGGCTACAAAATTAAAATATACATTGTATATGAAATAATTATAAAAGTACATACTACTTTCTTATTCAAACCTATTTTGCTTTTGTGGTTTTGTCTATAGAGTTTATATTTTGAAAACTAAAATTTTAAATTAAAGTAATTATCTAATTTCATGGTATAAATAGACATTCTTATAATATTTTGAATATAAACTAATTTTAATTTTATATAAGAAATAAAAATTAATAATTTAAATAATGGTTTGATTTAATATTTTACCCAATTTGTTTTTTTCTTTTTTTACGATTTTAAATTTAAATTAATATTATTAATTATGTACCATTTTAATAAAAATATATTATTTTTTTCACAAAGTGCGAAATTAAAGTAATATTTAAATAAAAATTCAAATGAATATTTTATTTTAAATCAATTTTAAGCCATAATAAAAAAAAGATAATCTATATTTTTTTCTATGGGTGGCACAATAGATAAATTAAATATATATATATATTAAAATATTAATAAAAAATTTATTATTATAATATAGAAAAAATGATAATGTAATATTTCATCTGTCCGCCTCTGAAGATTACATTTACTTTTTGCGTCATTATACTTAAACTTAAAAATATATTTATATTTATATAATTTTTTTTACAAATGTCTTTCTATTAGTATTATAGAACATTAATAAAAGTATTTTGTAAGTTTTTCTTAATTTGTATTACATTTCAATATAATAATTAATATTCAAATATCAACACGAAAAAAATAAATCGAACCTTTAAAGCCAGACGGATGTAGCATTACTTTTGTATGTTTATATTTTAAAATATAAATTAATTATTTGAATACCGATGAAATTTTAGATTTTAAATAGTTCGCTGGAAAGAAATTTGAATATCAGTGGCATTTCAAATTTTAAGTGAAATACTAAATATTTTTAGTTGTGTTACAACTATTAAATCATTAAAAAAAATAAAATAAAATAAAAATTGATAAAATAAAATCTTTAATGGGACATGCCACCACTTAGGGCGTGTTTGGCAATTAGCGGATAGTTGTTAGCTGATTCAATTAGCTGATAGTTGTTAGCTGATTCAATTAGTTGATTTGACTAGCTGATTCGATTAGCTGTTTGTATTAAAATGTTTGGTAAAACAACTGTTTGATATTAGTTGTTTATACGTAAAATGATAATTGAAGACATTTCTATTTTATTTTTTTTTCTAATATATTTAATTATGTTCTTTTGAGTTTAGAATGTTTAAAATTTTTTATTATTAGTTATTGAAAATTGTAAAAGTGTTATAAAAGTATTTATTTTTATTAAAATATATAAATAGTTTTTTTTATTAAAAATTATGTAAAATATAAAATAATAAATTTTTCATGTATATATTTATTATGTTAGTTATCGATTAGTTCATTATATTTATAATTTTCAATAAATTTAATTTATTTTAATTTATTTTTAGTATAAAATTTATATAATGTAATTTTAATATAAATATAAATTATTTTAAATTTATAAAAGTAAAGCTATAATATAATAAAATGTTCTAATATAGTTAATAAATAATCAAAATATATTTATTTGTGTAAAATGCATAATAAATTTTTAAGGGTATATAATGAATAAAAAAATTTTACAAAAAAAAACTATTTCAAAACGTTGGGTAAGTTAACTTTTCAGAAATTAGCTTTTTTTTTCCAAAAAGCTATTCCAAAAAGCTAATTTACCAAACGCCTAAATTAGTTTTTTGATTGATCAAACAGCTAAAAGCTGTTCAATAAGCTAAAAGCTCTTCAAAAAGTTGTTTGTCAAACAACCCCTTAATTACATATGAATTCCCCAGTAATGATTTAAATTTGAAATAGAAAAGGAACGTCTGCGAAAGCAAACACAACTAGAGATTTGTTTGTAATATGTTTCTAATTGGAAATTATTTGAATGAAGGAAAACTCGCAGATATTACTCAACAAGTACATTTTGGGTAAACTCTCGACAAAACCTAATAGTGGCAAACTTATTTTATTTTATTTTATGATGTGGGAATCCACTATCGCACCCGAAAATGTGCACTGAGTAAACTCCGACAGAGCCTAATATACTGCAAACTATTCCTGACAAACAAATCACATTAGACGAACCATTTAAAGCAATCTTATACTATTTTATTTATATCAATATCATCAAATCAAATTAAAACATAAAAATAAAAGTCTTTACATTATCAACTATCATTTTAATATTATAATTTATAAAAAAATTTGCGTAAAAAGCAAATATATATATATAGGTTTGTCTATCCAATAATTTTTTTACTAATATGATTCTCTATAAATATTACCGAAAATACAATATATATATAGTAAATGTACTTTATCTGCACATAAAAGTTAGTAATTCGACAAAGTGTATAAGAAAACTACAGTTAATACCATATTTAATACTCCCTTCGTTCCATAACAAAGTATCTATTTTTCTATTTTAGTTCGTTTCATAACAAAGTATCCATTTCCTTTACTATCTACCTAACATTACAAACACCCTTACAACTTTACAATATAATATATTACACAAATATCATTACATTTATATTACACGTACTAACAAGATTATTTTATTCATTTATACTTTATTCCTATTATATCCCAATATAATATTAATATTTATAAAATTACGTGCAAAAAGCAAATAGATACTTCTCTTTGGGACGGAGGGACTATTTATCATCAAACATATTTTTCTCACAAAAATATATTTTAAATACTCAAAATGTGTTTTTTATTCACTCACATGATTCCAATAAAAATATAATTCTTTCGTATATAAATATTAAGTATTATATTAAAATATAGTATAAATAAAGAAAAAAAATATTTTTTTTACTATCTTATAGTATAAATATAATGATAATTGTATAATAAATTATACAAATATAAAGATATTTTTAATATTAAGTACAATGACGAAAAAATAACTATATATTTTCTGATGAGACGAAAAAAATATTATTTTATTTTATAAAAATATTATATCAAAATACTATTTAAATAAAAATTCAAACTAATAATTTATTTCAAATAAATTTTAAACCACAATCAGAGAAACACCATTGCATAAAATATGTGTTGTATTCAATGCAAATTTTTTACTCAAACCTACCCTTATTTATGTATTTTTAAAAAATGTGAACAAATTTGCAATTCATATAAAAAAAATGACCCCACAGAATATCTTATTTATTGGATAAAATTACTCATGTTAAATTAAAGTATATATAAAATATCTTTTTATCCAAATATATATTTGGGTGTAAACACACCTTTAATTATGTAAATTTGATACGATAAAATAATACTATCTTAAATACTCCATCCGTCCCATGTAATATGGGTGTATTATTGTAGACACGGGAATTTAAGTAAAGTATAATTAGTAAGTAATTAAAAAATATATTAGTAAAAATAATTATAATTTAGTAAAAATAATTATAGATTAAGATTAACATAACTAAAAGTTTAATTAAGATTAAAAAAATTAAATTTTAAATTTTAAAATATGATTAAAATATATAATTAATTTTCCAAAAAATGAAAGGACAAATTACGTGGACGGACGAAAATAGAAAATAGGACAGATTATGTGGGAGAGGGAGTAGTATTCTTTCTGAATGAATTAAATAAATATGTCATCATCAATTTATTTAATACTTCCTCTCCTTATAACAATTGACTATTTTTTTTTGTTTGTTTGTCTGTATGACAATTAACATATTTTTATTTTGGATAATATTTACTTAATAAATATAAATTAAATTTAATTAACTACATAACTTATAATATTATAAATTATATAGAATCCACTCAAAATTATTTTATTTCTATCTTTTTAATAAAAAAATATAAATATTTATATTTAAAACTCTATCTCTTTTGTAAAATTAGTTTATATTAATTATAAATATATACAAATATTTTTTTATTTACTTGTATTATAAATTTTTTTATTATGATATTCATATTACATATAGTTTTATTGCAATATAATTTTAAAAATATTTAAATACATATTCTAATTTTTTTAATCATATATATTAAATTTATTTTAAAATTATCGATATTGTTAATCATATAAAAAATAAAAAATAATATCATAATAGATCATTATTAACTAATTAAACATTATATTTAAAAACGAACAATATACAATAACAAATAAAAATAAAATCCAAAAAATCTCCATACTGTTGTCCATCTCCATTTTGTCAATGCTTTTGAAAAACTTAGCACACAAATTAATTATATTATTTGGATATTTTGCACCTTCTCATTAAATTATTAAGACGCGGCATGAGAGTTTCATTAAATTGTTAATTAAAATAATCCATGAAAGAGAGTCACTTCTCTTGAAAAATCTCCCATTCTTATGTTAATAATAATAAGGCAAAAATGCTTA